GTCATCAAAGCTGTTGGCTCAAATGTAGCCAGCTGATACGACCCCTCAGCCAGTCGAAAATTGGCAAGTTGGTTGACTCACGGGTCTAAACCTTTATCAAACTAAATAGAAATCTAATGACAGCTTTCTTAGTTAGAATGTGGGTTACATCAATTTGCACTAATGTCAAAATGTTCAATTCTTAGATGCTAGGGCCCTAGCTAGGGCAAAATTATGTTCTTATTTTATAACATGAGTGAGGTGAAAATTACTAAGATATTTTCTGTAGAGGGCACTATACCTATAGATGTCGTTAATCCCCCGACTACATCGACAGTCCAACAGATCATTACCAGGCATTAAATTGACTTATATAGGGTAATCAGAATTCGAGAGAGGCTCAAACCCACTTAAGTCCACAGGATCCCACTCATCTAGTTATCGAGTGGGTTATCGATAATATAATTTAGTTTCTGGGAAATTGAATACAGCTGATTGATAAATTATCAATTAGATTAGGGTTATATCATGTACAATCAATAAAAAAACCTGGCTAACGTGAATTAGAATATTAACCTGCTATTTAAGCCAAAAATATGGAAGGCAACTCGCGCCAAAATCTTCTTTGGAATTGAGATAAGATTTGGATTATTCCTAAATAATCTGATTATACAAATACATGTTTGTAAATATAGGTATAGTCTGGTTATAAACAAAATTTGAAAGTTAGAAGTATCTCTAAAGATACAACCTTTGATACCAATCCCCTTCTTTATTTTCCTTATAACATTTTGTGTTGTTTTATGTGTAACCATACTCATTCCTAAAGCACTTTTGGAGGGGAGGAGACCGGCATTTTAACTAAATGGTTATGTAATAATGTTTATGATATAACATTACTCAATAAAGCCACGATTAGCCAATCGCTCTTGCTATTCAAAAATACAGTATTATACAAGATTACATATATACTCGTAGTCATATAACTTATTGTTGGTAAGCTCCAATCCCCCAATGTTTGTTATTAGAAAGTTATCTATATACTTTTCCCATTGGGAGTGTTTGATCATCGCTTAATAATTAAACACACGACATCCCGAAATTTGACGGAAACCCACGAAATTGGGAACAATAGTCGAGACAGACACGGGCCGCTGATATAAAATTATTTGGCAAGAGAACAAGTTTTGAGACGATGTAGAAGTTATTGTGTTGAACTCTAGTCACCTCGGGTTATTTCAACTCAAATCATCTCGTTATTTTCAACTAATTACCACGATATTTAACTTATTTCAGCTCCCGGATTATAGAACGTGAGAGCGAATTCATTTATTTACAACACATCAGTCATTTGTAGGCGCGGTTAAACTTGTCGTCTGCTAAACTATATAAAAAGTTTTGCTGGAGGAAATAGATATAGTAGTGTTAAGAAAGCTATGTTAGACTTGATGACTTGGGAAGAAATGGTCGATAGCCTTACCCAGGAGGGTCAACTCCAAAAAGCCGCCATCTTTGATTTGAAAGGCGAGAAGCTTGCAGGAACTATGGGGATCAACGTCAGCAAAGCAGAAGCTTTAAGTATGATAACTTGTATGACTGGTATGGCCAATACTATGTTTGGTTTGTACATCGAGTCGGAGAAGTACAAAATATTTTTGGTGGATGAAAACACTTTGATTGGAAGGACTAACGACACAATTTTCGTGGCTAACAGGAGTAAAAATGTCCTGATTTGTGGATTTTCGGATGTGAAATCAAACATATCGTGTTTAGGAGGTGTACGAAATTTTGCTACAAAACTTGCCACACAGTCCGCTCCGGACACTGTGCCAAGTTTGATTTAAAAGATATCTGAATTCATAACAAAGTTTTTGTAATGGAGAAGAAGTGTTTTGGTTGAATAAAATGTGTACACAATTGTAGACCTATATTGAAAAACAATACCTCATTGTCACTTTTATCTACATGTAATGATAACATAGAGATTGATGGTAAATTGTAAATAGTACATTGATTTTTTTTCACAGACACAATATATACCAGCAAGAGAATGATAGTATACGACAATTACTGTACAAATTGCTTTGAAATTTTGTAGATCGATTGTGTATTCTACTAATTAACCCCACCCCACTCACTAGAAAGAGTTTGCCGTGTTAAAGCCAGCCTGAAGGCTAGTGATGATTTACGAGTGTCAAACAGTTATTCATGTTAATTCTCGAGAATTTAAAATCTTGAGTTATCTGGATATGATAAATAGCTAAGTTTGTGTATATAACATGATGACAAATTGTATTCTATCTTACTAATAACTTGCTTCCGTCTTGTATTATATGTTATTAAAATTTTATATGATACTGCACTATAAAACATATTTTGAAATAATGTAGATTTACTGTATATGAGTAATGCATTAATCAGTCCTTATGTGCATAAACTGAAAGATCCAAATCTTGCCTCTCACCTATTCCAGTTTTGCAAATTTGAATTTTTTTTTATCTCTATAGTAGGTTTGTATGTAGGGAAGACAATTCGGGGACTTGAATCAATACTTTTAAATACATAAATTTTTACGGAATTTGAGCAATATCAGCGAGTGAGACAAGGTATGTTCACCTTTTCACTGCTTAAGTTTCAAACCTCCGCCTAAGTGGATATACATAGCCTAACCTTCGTCTTTCGGTATTCTGAGGTAATATACATGATTGAAACTTGTTTAAAAATACAGTTCATGTAATAAGATGGTGTAACTGGGCTTCAAAGGTTTAATACAGACAGTAGGTTACATTTATCTGTATAACATTTTCATGTTTTATTATGGTGTCAAGTACTAATGTGTGGGCGAAACAAGCTAAAAATTTAATTTAACCCTTCCTTTTATAAACTGTATAATATTGAATCTTGGACAGTAAAATGTAGACTATATAATGTCTGCCTTATAACCGAATTTATTTGATAAAATTAACATAATGAATAACATACTTGTCTAACAGATAAATTTTAAAACAAAGTTAAACTGTGCCTAAATATGATAAATATTTAAAGTTTTTACCTAGGGGGAAACATAAATATAAGGTAAAGTGGTGTTTTGTCTATGCGTGGACCTGTTCACATTATGTACAATGATAAGCCTATGTATTTATATGAAAGTAATATACTTGACATTATTAGGATCGGTCAAGCGAGACGACCTAAGATCCTCGAGGCCAGTTGATAATGTAGACAAAAATAGGCCTATAATAATATAGAACTTTTATTGACAAGTGGAGAGGAGTTGAGATTTACGAGCAGTGAAACTCATATTTAAGTATTATTATTAGGATTTTTTTCCAACCCTCAAATTCTGTTACCATAGCTTTTTGATGTATGGTTTAAATTTCCTTTGCCCCGGTTTGAATATAACAACCAAGATGTGGACAATCATGCCTGTCTGTGCTGGATAATGATATCAGCTATATTAAACTAAATAAAACAGATACTTGTTGTCTGTTGTTCTTATTATAGTTACTTCCCTTTATCTGACAAGTTGAATGTCTTCTTTATTATAGCCTTACACTTCAGATATAACTTGATCGGACCGATGAATCAAGGTCTTGTGGACAAAATATATTATACTACTTATGGTAAATGAGATAAGATAATAATAAGAACATAGAATCAGAATATCGCTCAATTTAGGGTTTGAATAAGTGCTTTGAACAGTTACCTCCTTCAAACCGGAAAGGCACCCTTACTGAGCTGCTACGGCGACGAAGCGTGAAGAGAGCAATTTGCGCCATTGTCGCCCATATTCGCCGTTGAAATCGCTACGGAATCGAGAATGTCTTTAGATATGTGTCATAACATAATCCACGTAATGACGATCCAAACAAAAAACGAAACCCAAATTTCAAAGCACATGATTATTGGCGAAACATTAAAAGCAGCTAGTTTCACATGATGAAGTACATCAATCATAAGTGAGGAAGTATTTCATACTGAAAAGTGGTATCAGCTGTCTAGAAGAGTAAGCATACCCTATCTTGCGCCACACCCGTCATAGCTGCTTTGGAAGTATTCGAGATTTGGTTCCTTTCAGGACTGAAAAGCTGTCGAATGGCTTCCTATAGATGTTCTGGTGTAAAACAGCAAATTCTGCAAATTTCTGTACATCTATTTATGGAAAATTCATGTACATGCGTGCGTAACATGAGTTATCTAATAGAATGTATGGTAATTGGCACCTTAAAATGAATTTAGCTTCCCAAATACGCTTTAAGTAGAGTCGCACAGAAAAAAAGAACTGGAATGAAAAATATGATACTACACTGTTCTTATCACATTTTGAATATCTAAAATCATAAAGAGAGGCGCTGCTGTGCCTATTGCAGACTTTGGCGCCCCCTAGAAGAATTGGGCACCCTTTATTTTCCGTCGCTGGTGGGACCATAATAAAATGTCTGCAGTTATTGAGCACAAAACGAAAATTTAATTTTGTGTTGTACATAAACAAACACCCATGTAAAATCTCTAAAAATGAGTAACAATACGTCCAATACATGGGAATCCTGAAATATTATTGTGTTGAACACAAACAGGGGTTTACAACCTACTTTCTATTAAGTTTACCCCTTTTATGATCTTTGATCGAATGCATTATCTCCTTTAGCCTATTTTATTTAGTGATTATCTCTTAGTTTTTTCCCTCCAACCTTAGGCTGGCCCATCAGATTATTATTGTTCCAATTATGCTAGAAGAACAAATCGCCTCCAAAAATTTTCAAAATTACCTCCTTAGGAGTAATCACCCCAGGTTGAAAACCCGCGACGTCATAACGTTATGCTTTATAACACGTAAATATCATACTTATGCAAATCTGTCAAGTTTTTCCTTTTTTATTTGTTTAGAGTGTTGAACTACTGTGAAAACGCCGTAAGTTATCGAATTTAGAATTCAGACATGGTTGAAAATCTGTTTCTGTAATCTAGAATTGTAATTGATGAATTTTACATAAATCATGTTTTTGAAAGGTATGATGAACATGGCCGACATGACAGATAGATTGTTGAAGCATGGATGGTCTAAAAGACAACTTACAATAGCGGCTCCTGTATTAATTCATAGTGGTACTGGTACGCTAGGCCGGGAGCAACCATAAATCCAATAATGACATTGTGGCTGCTGCACTTGATCACACCAACGAAACAAGATTTTCAGTCCACTAAGAGCCGTAAGAGTAATTGTGAGTCCTTTTCATCGTAATTTGTACAAAATTAATGCAATCCATATAATTATACAACTACCATAATAATTGTGTTCGCACTAGCGTTTGTTTCATCAGTATATAGATCATTTTGTTTCAGAAATTAGTGAAGCAAATATTAGTAAAGCAAATATTGGATGGTTTATAAAGACGGATGATGCTATAGTCCATGGTCCGCGACCCAATTCCAAGTTTGATCCAGTTTCTGAAGGAACCACACACCTTGATTTGTGGTTGAAGAATTATCATGAAGGTAAACTGAGAGAAACAACTGAAATTAAATCTAATGTATAGCTGATAATGTGGCTAAAATACTGGACTGGATACGTAGAAAGGAGGAAAGTGTTTCACCAGGAAAACAAGGAAAATGTAAATAGGCCTAAGAGGATGCTGAAATTGATCTCAAAGAATCTCCCCATAGCTCCTTATATTTTTGTCCAAAACGTTATAATTTGAACATAGCCCCATTGAATTTTTAATTCTTATTCCTAGTTTTATCCGAAAAGGTAAACCACAAAAGGCAATGAACAATTTGTTAGAAGAAGGTTGGACAATGGTAAACAGAATTCGAGATCAAGTGAAATGATTTAAAACCTTATTTTATGCTTTTCTCAAACATGTTTAAGCTGACACTATCGCTTACTTCATGCAAGTTTAGGTTTCTATTTACCCTTTTGGAGGAGAAACGATCTGGCAGATATTCTAGAAGAGAATACTTGTCATTTTAACTACATCTTCAATATTTTACTGTGTTTCATCTTCTTATATACAGATCAGTCTCACAATTCGACAACTCGACGTAGATTTTTACATCATGAAAAATGTTGAGAAGAATGTTTATACGCAGCAGAAATGAACAATATAGCTCTGTGTTACCATTCTCACAACTGGCATTCTGGTGATCATATCACATTGAACATGTTTACGAATTCAAAATTTTGTGAATAAGCCGAGTAGATATATTTTGTAATAACATACATTCAAATTGCAATAAATTGTTGTTGTTTTTTTGTTTATTAAAATACTAAACTTCATAAATTATCCTATACCACTTGTTTTTCACTAGTTATGATGCTGCATACTCACTTAAGAACCCAGAAAATTGTTAACTACATACCTTACTTGTTACCCAGAATGTTATATACTAAATACCTCACTTGTAACTCAGCATGTTATATACCGAATACCTCACGTGTTACCCAGTATAGTGTAGTCTAAATAACCTTTCTTGTAACTCAGAATGTTATATACTGATTTCCTCACTTGCTACCCAGTATAGTGTAGTCTAAATAACCTTTCTTGTAACTCAGAATATTATATACCGATTACCTCACTTGTTACCCTGTATAGTATAGTCTGAATAACCTTTCTTGTAACTCAGAATGATATATACTGATTTCCTCACTTGTAACTCAGAATGATATATACCGAATACCTCACTTGTTACCCAGTATAGTATAGTCTGAATAACCTTTCTTGTAACTCTGAATGATATATACCGAATACCTCACTTGCTACCCAGTATAGTATAGTCTGAATAACCTTTCTTGTAACTCTGAATGTTATATACTGATTTCCTCACTTGCTACCCAGTATAGTATAGTCTGAATAACCTTTCTTGTAACTCAGAATGTTATATACTGATTTCCTCACTTGTTACCCAGTATAGTATAGTCTAAATAACCTTTCTTGTAACTCAGAATGTTATATACTGATTACCTCACTTGCTACCCAGTATAGTATAGTCTGAATAACCTTTCTTGTAACTCAGAATGTTATATACCGATTACCTCACTTGTTACCCTGTATAGTATAGTCTGAATAACCATTCTTGTGACTCAGAATTTTATATACTGATTTCCTCACTTGTAACTCAGAATGTTATATACTGATTACCTCATTTGTTACCCAGTATAGTATAGTCTGAATAACCTTTCTTGTAACTCAGAATGTTATATACTGAATACCTCACTTGTTACCCTGTATAGTATAGTCTGAATAACCTTTCTTGTAACTCAGAATATTATATACTGATTTCCTCACTTGCTACCCAGTATAGTATAGTCTGAATAACCTTTCTTGTAACTCAGAATGATATATACCGAATACCTCACTTGCTACCCTGTATAGTATAGTCTGAATAACCTTTCTTGTAACTCAGAATGATATATACCGAATACCTCACTTGCTACCCAGTATAGTATAGTCTGAATAACCTTTCTTGTAACTCAGAATGATATATACCGAATACCTCACTTGCTACCCAGTATAGTATAGTCTGAATAACCTTTCTTGTAACTCAGAATGTTATATACTGAATACCTCACTTGCTACCCAGTATAGTATAGTCTGAATAACCTTTCTTGTAACTCAGAATGATATATACCGAATACCTCACTTGCTACCCAGTATAGTATAGTCTGAATAACCTTTCTTGTAACTCAGAATGTTATATACTGATTTCCTCACTTGTTACCCAGTATAGTATAGTCTAAATAACCTTTCTTGTAACTCTGAATGTTATATACTGATTACCTCATTTGTTACCCAGTATAGTATAGTCTGAATAACCTTTCTTGTAACTCAGAATGTTATATACTGATTTCCTCACTTGCTATCCAGTATAGTATAGACTGAGAAAGTAACGCTAGCATTCTGCAACATATTCAGCTTACCGAAAACTGTCGAATGAACCAAATTTCATGACTAAATTTTTCTGCGCGGTGCATCGTGTCCAAACCACACACCCATTCGTCATACTTCCTCAAAACCCGTATTCGTGATACGATGGGCACGGTGCGGCGCTTCACAGGACGATCAGATATTGTAACAACGATGGCTTGATAATGGTGATAAAAGATGAAACAAAGAATGGTAAAGTTCGATATTACCGTTATACACGGTGTAATAAATGGCACTAGTACCCTTAATAATCAGGCTTGTAGGCAGCCAAATACTTCTGGGAGAGGGGGTGTCCAATCAAGAGGGATAGTTTAGGTACCCCCTCCCTTCCCGGAAAACTTTGTTATGAATTGTTACACAATACAGTGGTGCTCTATGTAGAGTTATTGCTATCTTTATTTCTGTCGAGGACGCTCATTGGAAGCCTGTAAACACGATTTCCTGACATTTCCCATCAAATTTAAGGTTAAAGATTATTCTGCTAATGATGGCATAGGGATTACCTTGAGCTTGAAGAGAGGTCACTGGTGGTAATTAAAAGTAAATTTCTTATCGGCTATCTTATGTTTTTATGTCATTTTGTGCTGGAATATCAATTATACAATTATACAAACGATTATCTAATGGCGTTAATTGATTAAGATGACGAGATGTCGAATTGTACAAATATGAGGTCGTAATTCGTTATAGGCCTACACAGAATATCGGAGTACTCGGGAGGTTTTTTTAAACTGACATAACAAGGAAATCAATCGGGACCATAAAAAAATGTCAGATTGCACAGAATGTCGGAGTACACTTGTTGCAGTTTAGTTTACGCTGTGATATCCGACATTCTCTGCCCTCTGACATCTCATTTAGATATATTATTATCATTATAAATGGAATAAAAACGGCATAATTCTCATTTGATGCATAACCTAATAATGAAAGGCATAATATAGTTATTCTCTATATATTAATACATTTAGACAAAAACATTTTTTCTCTGATTTTAATAACATTATGATCATATGAACTGTAGGCTACCACGAATTATATATCCGTAGTCCGAACGTCTTCCTTAACTCTTTCTAGTTACATGTAATGGGTTCAGTTTGCCAAATCTAAAATAGAAAATATCAAATAATTGATAAAAAAAATAACTCGGTGTTTCACAAAACATCATTATCAGGTGGAGAGTTGCATGGTTGACTAAGCAGTCGTGGTATCTGCCTTTTTCCGGAGGTGTAATATCTTTGTCCTGAAAAAAGATTTAACGAATTTTCTTACCTTGAAACTAGGTGTTCTGGTCTATAACAGCTACCTTTGTTCCTGCATTGTTGTTTAAATATTTTTTTATTATTATTTAGTTTTCCTGTAAATATGTTCATTTAATGCCTTATTTTGAATCATGAATAATGTAATTTTCAATTTGGTGTCAGTCATATTAAGTCTTATATCTAGTGGGTTTAATTCATTGTTAAATTGCCATTTAATGCATGGTGATATAAATACAACAATTGCATTGAAATGTGATATTAAAGGACATATGATTCATATGATAAACAACGGCCAAGGCTTAATTCATATAAACCATTAAGGTAAGAAAGAATGTATTTAAAGAGAATATTTAAATGATATGAGGATATTTAGGCTACATTTGACTTATCAAGGAATTATCCTGTGTTATATCGCAATCTTAAATCTTTAAACCAGAAAAAAGTCATCTTTGTACATCTTGAAACCATTAAGAAGTGCGCGGAGATTTTCAGGTGGTTGACTAAGCAATCGTGGTATCTATCTGTTTTTTCTTGTTTCTTAGAGGCCAATATGATACTAATTGTCACCAATATGGTGAAGTTAATTTTGAAATTCAGCGTTCACGTCCACATTCAAATTTACTAATAATAGGAAATTAAGTGGCTCATCTTAATATTGAGCCTTGTCAGATTGGAATTCATGTTTTTCGAAGAATCTATCTGTTTTTTTTTACTGTTGCATTGTTATCTTTTTTTCTTTTGAAAATGCACAAGAAAAAGGATAAGCAAAGACAACTTATTTAACATTAATTTGAATTCATTTAATTTCGAAACTATAGCTGCTATGGTTGACCTCAATTCTGATATACATGTCTATAACGGTCATCTTTGATGCTGTATTCAGTGCGTTTGGGGTTTCTTTATTTCTCTTTTCAGAACCTCGTGACTATAGGGTTGTCATGGCGAGATTAAAACAGTGGTGGAACCTGCTGAAAGTCTGCAGTGAAATAGCCTTTTATGGAGCCATTATGATTTTGACAAAATTTAGCCCTTCAATAAAACAATACATGGTTTCGAAAGCTGGTGATGTAATGAAAGAGACTGGATTCTCTGAAGAAGATTGGAGCGAAAGTATGTGTACTTGGGCAGCCTTGAAGAGAATGTTCCAATCTAGATATCTTGATGTTTGGAAAACAGCAGAACTTGGTGGTAAGGCTCCGAATCCCGAAGTTCATTCATCTGACGGTTTACAGAGGCAGCTCTTATTAGATTGGATGAAACCAGGCCGTCCTCTGGTGATGAATTTTGGTAGCTGTACCTGACCACCTTTTATGGCAAAGTTACGGAAATTCAACGAGATAGTACGAGACTTTGCCGAATATTGTGATTTTGTAACAATTTATATTGAAGAGGCTCACTCAAGTGATGGCTGGCGATTTGAAAATAATTTCGAATTCAGCACTCACACAAAATTAAATGATCGGGTTCTTGCTGCAAAGAGTTTGCTGAAGGCGGGAGTGTCTAGCGCAGTTGTTTTGGATTCAATGAAAAACGAGGCTAATAATCAATATGGTGGTTTGTTTGAACGGTTGTATATTGTTCTAGATGGTGTTATTGTGTATCAAGGAGAAAGGGGGCCAAATGGATACCGTATCGAGGAGGTAGAAGATTGGTTACAAGCGTTCTGTACAAAAACAGTTCCGGATAACGGAACATCTCACGCTACAGTAACAAGTGAGAAGACGTCTTGTTGATAAAGGTTAAATGGAAGCTGTAGGTCGATGCGGATAAGAGTGGATATGCTGAATTTTTGTCTAAGCTTCTCATATTATTCAAAACATAGCACTGCACAGCAAAGAAAAATGCTTTTCTATAATAGTTTAATTTGTTTTTGTATAATTGTATCTAGTATGTTGTTGTTATTGTCGTCGGGGTAACTCTTACATGGTACAAATATTTCCTCTTTATTTTGAATGTCATATATCATAATTATGTGTCTCAATGAAGATTTTTAAAGAAAAAAGCATTACTTTACAATCGGATGTTTAGGATGTCATATTATGATATAAAGATCATTTTTTTGTTTATAGATATTGCTTTTATCTCACAAAATGATATTAAATTATTAATATATACGAACTAGTTTTTTTTTAATTATAGAAACATATTATGAAATATATTAAATTCATGTTTTATAACTACTGGATTATTCATCGAATAACTTTTAATTTTTTCCATGCATGTTTGTCCCATTCTGACCCAAAAACTTTTATAAAGCCAAGTACTGGTATCCTCAAACATTCATGGTAGATTATATTGGGCTATGGCCTTGAGTTGGAGTGGACTACATTTGTTGAAGCAAAATATGTCGCTTGTTCTTGACCTAGCCTTTATCGTTTATTTTTTTGATTAGATAAAATACACCAATTCCTTCAATAATAGTCGATTCGTATTCATTCATATTGTAGAGAAAACAACGTTCATGGACTATTTTTACCAATATCAAGATGGTGGCTCAGTGCTTTCATGTCACAATCTGCTTTATATTTTTGAGGCATAAAAGTTATAAAGCGTATATTGCAGTAACAAACCATTTTTTTAGAAATCCAAAATTTTGACTTGTGGAATTCAAAAAAAATTTTCGGTGTGACTTAAAGGCTTTCGTACACAAACGTGTATGATACGATAGGCCTACGGACAAATAAATCAAAGTATTAATCTTGTAAACTATTACCAGCCAAGTTCACCGCCATTACATAGGTAGAAAAACCAATTTAGAAATGTAAAGTTATTCATACGAATGTACATGTAGGCCTATATGTAATTTAACATTCATAATATTGACCTTCTCGTGGTTGCAATTGTGTAAGAAGCTGACCTGAACTTGATATATCAATGATTTCCATATTCACACAATCAGAAGAAAGAATCATTTAACTACGTTGGAAAATTAGACCTATTCAGTTCTTCATTCCATAAAAAATAAATGTAGGCTGGAGTATATGAATTATCTCCCTTGTTCCTGTTTCCATCTTGTTCTCTAATACAAGATGTATAGAATGGATATCTGGCAAATCGCAGTGGCGCTGAAATTAAGAAATATTCTAGAATTAGAGATGCCGAAGAAATCGGAAGAATTGGTTCAATGGTTCTGCAAAGGAGTCATAGTTATAATATTAAGGTATAATGGGAAAGTTCGTCCCATAATGAATTTAAGACTTAAGTTTCATGCCCTTTTTTTCCCAAAGAGCAGCCCTACTGTTCTTTTAGACACTTCTTCACAGATTTTCATGATCTGTACTGCAAAGGTGGTGGGAAAATTTCTCGGACTAAAGGTATTTTGACAAAAGAGGAAATCTAGGCTAGTGTGAACGTTCACTCTAGATAGACATTCACAACTTATAATATCAAAACAGCTACAATAAAACAACTTAGACTGCTTTCGGCACCCACAAAGACGTCGATTTATAAACAGAGGACACTTACGTAGGTAAGTGTTAGGATGATAGAGTTGGTCGGCTCCAGCACCATTAGAATTATGGTATGATTGTCTCCCCTGATAATTATTAGCCACCGCAAGATGTCGTTGTGTTGAAGAATGTAAAGGCACTGTTCCGACGAAGACCTCTGCCTGTACGGCATGATCAAATGCTGGACCAACCGGTTCTATGCGTAGCTGTAAAATATATCAAGATTTTTAGACACATATGCAGGGCATACCTAAGCAAATCGGTTAGCGATAAGATTAAGGATCTTTACGATGCAAAATTTGTTATGAAGGCTAGAATCTCGATATCAAGAACGACTAGGTAGGATTACAGGACAGGATTATGGAATTCTTGACAAGTATACTGTCTTATAATGCTGGAGTATTTTCTTTGATACTTACCACTATCATATATTTGACATCAATAATACCACAACCCATGAGATGTGATGTAGGTAAAGGAGGTATAACTAGAGGTTCTCCTTCCCATGTGTCTGATGACCCGGATGGAATTTGACCCCGTTTTCGTTTCATTATCTGTTGTGTTATAGAACGTGTTTCCGTCTTGGTGTAGAACGTCGTTGTCTAAAAGTAAAATTTGAGGATTTATTATTGCTACATAGAGAAACTACCTTATATGAATCTTTAATATATGTTGAGTAAATGGGTATTCCTTCATATGCATTCTCGGCTTCTAATCACCTATAAACAAGAAACTGACTTTGATTAGCTAAATAGGAATCGACTATGTGAATGCCAAAGAAATGCTGCCATGAAGTAACATTTTCTCACCATTTTGAACTCCAGGGATGATGAGGCCATTTTTCTTCTGGAATTATTCATTACTTCAGCATCAACATGGATCGTCTCCCCTGGTACATAACCCTTCTGATTCAAACACAGTGTTGCACTAACTGGTCCTGATAGACAGCATAAACAGCACAACTTCTTCTGTTTCTGAGTCCGAATTGGAACCTACAAAATTAAACAGATAGGTCAAAGAAGTCATTTTATGACTATATACAGAGAAGTGTTATAAGTAAAGAGGATTTTGGTGAACCGTCCAAATCGTTTTACTGATTGTACAGAAATTTGCGCTTAATCTTTGGGATTATTTTTTATATGCCGGGGAAAGAGATTTCCATGTGATAGATTTTTGCTCAAATGAACTTTAACCTTGAGCTAGGCCTTACTTCTTTTAAAACTTCATTGATTAATGCAGACGGCAAAACCATTAATAGGAAACTTACAGACATAGACGGATCTCTGTTTAAGTCTAAAGGCTGTATAACAGTAAAAACCTTCTTGCAGGTCAAATCACAGCGATGGGGGATTTCTATCATCACTTTGACGCAATATCGTATATGTCCGTACTGGCCTTCAAATGATGTGGGGGTATTGGTTGGTATCTGAAACTGGAATGGGTAGGTGTATTGACCAGCTGGTAAGGTTCTCTTATCGTTGTTGTTGCTGGGATCTGAAGAAAATATGCGATGGTCAACAAACTGAATTAATACATACTTTTTAAAATAATATTGAAAACAAAGCTATTCGTATACCTTGCTGAAAATTTCAGTGAAATTATTTGGTACCTTGATGGAATAAAATCAGTTGCAGAGTTTTCCCAGGAGATTCGAGAAAAGGGTATATACAAGAGTCTCACGGTAGTGTTAACTACAATCCGCAGGTCAGAAATACCAAAGCTATTAAAACACGCAATGTTTTTTTTTTGTTCCACATAATTTGAAAGCTGTATAAGTATATAGGCTAATATGTTAATTATTTAAACAGACTCTGTAGATAAGACACACATTTACACACCACGAAATATGTATGAGTGATTCTCATAACGCACCTTTTTATTGGCGAAATAAATACTGTTTATGATCGGTTTAGTTATATTATTTCGATATTTTTGGCAGTGACTTATACATTTTTATAATTGACCAATTGTGAAACTATTTGTTTACCTAGTTTCTAAAACGTTAATGCCCTCTGCAGATACAGGCGCTAGAGTTACCACTCCTTTGTAAGAAATACAAAAAGTACAAAAACACAAATCAGTTGACCAAATAAGACTTTTTCTGAACATTGTTCTATTTTATAATAAATTCTCCATAATATACTATAACGTGAACATGACCAACAAAAGGTTCGACATCTACGGATCCATATACATCCTATATCAGTAAAGTGTTGTCCTTTTGCAACACATTTTTGGTGTTGCTTGTTCGCTAAATATGCCTTGGGTTGTGGAGAGCCAGTAAAGCAACTTAATCATTGTCGATTTCAAGAATATTCAAACCAAGTGCTGGCACTCTGCAACCGATTTTAGATTCATGGTAACTGGCGAGAGTTATCGAACACTTTAAATAAGGTACCTTGAGGTCGATCCCCTTGAGACACTCCTTTCAGTTTCATTCGATTTTATGACAGTTTCTGACGTGAAAGGAACATTAAGAGTGAGTTGGAGAGATCCAATCAAAATATATTTCCTATTAATGGTTCTAATTGAATGAAATGGAGTATGAAATGAGATAGTTGAATGTTCCCTACACTAGACCAATTAACTTCACTCTTTAAAATCTACTCAATTAGATATCATGTGGCCTACAGAATGCGTAATTCTTTCCTCTCAAAAGCTTGTGGAACTGGGTTTTTTAAACTTCGATATCATGGTAACAATTGTAAATAAAGCTGGGAATGACCTCTTAGACCCACTCTCATTGCAGTTCCCAATTCTAGGTCTACGTGCGGTCAAATCATCAATCAAGAGTTATCAAAGGCAATATTTGTCTTTTGGGATGTTTATTCTAATATAAAGTTGGCCTGTGAAGAATCAAGAATTGATTATTATAAAAGAGTCTAGCTTGAGTTATTCACTGTAAAATTCGATTTCTGCCTCCGATGAAAACTTAACCAGTATGCTGACTAAAGTGGCCATTATTATTTGTCTTCTCCTGGGAACGATTTGGATACAAAATAACTGCCAGGAGCCATAAAAATAGGCGAGAAACAGTTCAATCCAGACGACTCTTTTCAAATATTCGAGCAATTGTGTAACGAGGACGTGTATAAATTGACTCCGGATAGCGTTTTGTTTGAACATATTTCAATATTTAAAGATGAGGGCAGATACATAGATAAACAGTACATATATAATCCAACGATTTGTGGGCTATCCGGAAATTAGAGCGAGAGACAATGGCCCCGGAAGAACTGAAAGGAAATCAACATGCGTCACTCTTACCACATTTCATCAGATGTAAATATTTCTGAAAACTATCTGTTCTTACATTTTTTCAAGTAGAAAGAGTTACTTTTCATCGTATAAGGTGAAAGAAATAGTTTTAAATAGACTAAATAAGGTGCCCTCGACCTCAAACAGCAGACACGAATTTACTGTCACTTTAAGTATCCAAATATTGTAGTCTGAGCTAACGTCTGGTTTAATTTTAATGAAATCGATGAAAATGGCGGTAAACAGAAGGACTGGTTTATTGGAATAGTTATTGAATGTTGATGTCTGCTGATTATTGATAACCAGGGAATTATTGCGGTTAAGTATTCATATATGGCACATAATCCAACCGACGAGTATTTGAAGACCAACTCTCAGGCCTATCGATAAGTCTTATTGTGTGGAGGCTAAAATTTTTCAAGGGAGGATGGGAACCCAACTTGTTAAGTGGACAAATCACTTACGAGTTATTTGGCAGCAGCAGAATTAAACTTTCCCCGGACTCACCGATATATCCTGACCCCGGCTGACCCTGGATCACATGCTCAGTTTTGCAGATCATTCATTGTCCAAAACTTCCCAATTACGCAATTTGAGAACAAGTGTCGGTTTCAACATTCAATTGTCTATTTACGTTATAATGGTGTTGACAGCAAACTGGGGTAATTATATAGTACACTGACCAATTGCATTATCATGCAGCCACAGTGTGATACAAGTCAAAGAGAGGCCCAGAACAAAGATATATGAAGGCATGGGTAAGCGTGTATTAAGTATATGATGCGAGCATAAGCATAAGCATAATGGTGTCTCGGAACTGTACATCAGGACGTCCTGAGCTGTGGTGTATGAGACTTTATAAACTTTTCATCATTCGAATCAGTGTTGTCCGTTTCTTTGTACATTGAAAAGCAGAATGGTTAGAGAAATATTTGTTCTTTGGGCTTGCATGTAGTACAATATCCTTTTGTATATTATTGTCTTTTCATATTATTAATGGACCAAATCGTGTAAATAATCAATTGTTAATGTACATAGAGAGTCTCAAATGGTAAGAGCATCTCAATGAAAATGTGCATAAAATCGCTTTGGTACTTTACCCACCTTTTGAAAGCAGCGTATTTGAGACATCAAAATATTCCTCTGTCGCTGTATGGTGACGTATTTCTCGATATCGACTTTCCCCTGGACCTCTCATATTCTGGTCCGTCCAATGAACATAAGCCTTTCCTCGGAAATTTACACGAATTCCTGAAATAATAAATGACTTTAGTTGCTAGGTGAACCTGTAATTTTATATTACATGTAAAACGAGTATGTCATTGCCATTGCTTGATAAAGTATGAGTGAACAATCGTCATTACAGGAGAGTATATCATCGTTATTGCTTGAAAAAAATGACTTGACTTATTGTCATAGCTTAATGATTATGAGTGTATTGTTGTTATAGCTTGATACATGCAGGTGTAACATTGTCATAATGGCATTGCTTGGTAAATGCATGTGTATCACTACCATTGCTTGATAAACTCAAAAGAATTGTATCAGCACCATTGCTTGATACATAATAGAGTATTACATGTACCAATGTAACTACGAGTGCGCCATTGCTAGATTGAGTGTATCATGGTCATTTGCCTGATAAATATGAGTATCGCTGTCATTGCTTGGTAAATACGAGTGAATCATGGTCATTGCTGGGTAATTACGAGTGAATCATCGTAATTACATCGCTTGATAAATACGAGTATTGGTGTTCCATCGGCGATGATTTTAAAACAAAGGGCTTTCATGCTGAATTGGTTAAGATACCATCTTTAAAACCTTTTTAAAAATAATAGATTCCTTGACAGGTAATTTAACTTTCATTACACACCAAAAACATTTGAAATATGAGTTAAAAGTATTAAAAAAATGACGTTGAAAGTGATAAATCGCTAAATAAATCATTATGTAACTCTACACTTTTAATTTTCTGTCTAGAAATAAATTAACGTTTGGGATTTACAGCTTGCTCTGAGCCATTCGCAAACAATAATCGAGTAATTCGTTACATAACGTACTGATATTGCTTTTGATGTTTCTAAGCAATACAATTCAAGTAACGAGTGGGGAACATTGCCATGGATGTAATTTGGGGAGGCACGGAAAAGATCTCCCTCGTCTTGAAATCCCAGTAATACAGTTATTTCCATATTGTATAATATGGTTTATTATTACCATTTTTGTAAACAAAACTTAGAAAACTTCATGGTACTGAATGGCAGATTAATTAGCACTGAAATAGATAAAAGAAGATTTAGAATGATTGCTTGTCTGATGTTTTATCCATCAAAAACGTTTCTACTGATTTATGTACCTGAAGTTTAAATTATAACATTTTCACCTGTTACTCTACTTATTATCATTATCAGAAATTCAATCTTCTAATATATAGGCCTACAATATATGAGTTATGAGTTAACAATGCTGAATTGCTAGGTCTACTGGAATAATTATAGGCCGACGCTTACGCGATTAATAATTTGGGGATTTTTGACCTTCCTTTTTAGTGTCATTGAAGGTCATCAAAAATATTTTTTCTAACTCTATTAAAATGTCATAAGAACGTTCTATCATTTTAAAAACTTTGCTTACTTTTTTTCAATTTTGCATAATTCGAATTTGTAATTAAAACAGGGAATAGAATATCTAATATAACAAACGGTGTATCATTCAGGGAATAACAATAAATCGTTAATACCACATTGTTTCAGCCTAGAAATCCAGAGCAAATAAAAGCTTTTAAACAATTGATTACAGAACCATATTGAAGAACCATAATTAAATAAAATGGCGTCTTTATCAAATATTTCAAATATCAAGGGACATAACTCTATTGCTACAGTCTGTTACACAACACTTTAGTGCAGATAAATACAATTAGGCGAAGGGTTTATCTAATATTTGAACACCAATGGGCCAAACTTTATAATACTTTCTTTATAATGTAAGATAATCAGTAGCTTTCAAATTATAGGCCTCAAATATTGGTCTGGGCGATTGTTGGCGAACCTGGATGCCCTGTAGTTACTTCCAGCATAGTAGGAGAGTTTAGGAAGTTCATGTCCGATTAGAATATTTCATATTAGCCTGGGATAGTAAGTCCGATAAAGTAGAATGGCTAGGTCCCCGTTTCCAACATCCTTTTGGATGTAAATGGACATTAATTTTCGATTGTTATTCCCGCATTAATAAAACAGCTTAAAATTGCCTGAAAGCATCATCAAACTCAATTTAAGTCACAAATAATAAGTCCATCCCCTTAACAGTTTTCTCAGTAATTTGTCTTTCTCATACATAATTTTTACTCGATTCATCTCCCTAGTTGTCCATCATGGAATGTTTATTAATAATTAACCCACAGGTCAATAGATGAGGTTCATATAAACACTATATAAATTGACAGCCAGGGGAAATAATCACTCTTTAAATCTTTTCAATCGACGATAATCGGTAATTAATGTAAGTGATAACCTTGGAAAATTAATCAAGAGCCTTGCTTTCACGTATTATTCACCATCAGAAGGACATCTACTTTCGCTAAAAATACACATTTACTTCATACTTAATATAAATATGGGCGCCGTTATTCGCACCGCGGCATTAACATATGGCCAACCCTACCTAAACCTAACTAAGTCACTTGACAATCAAAATGGCTTCGTGCAAAAACTAGTGCGCCCATTGTGTCCTATCTTATTCGTACCGTTGTTGGCAGACACACTTCGTGACGGTGCAAATAGCCATTGCGTATAAATATTTCTTCTTCGTTTTTGTCTGACCGGAAATAGCCTAAGCCTAGATTTTACTAATCTACTGCTGTTTTCAGCTCTTATAAAGAAAATGGGAGATGAAACTCCACCATTTTTTTTGTTTCAGATTTCTTCTCATTTCACTTAGAGTATACTAATCAGGACACAGGTTATTGCCAATATATATGGACAGACAGTCTTCAATGACCAAACGCATTCCTGAAATATTCTCGACCTTGAAGTTAATCCAAGCACCTCATTAAGTGAAGAAAATGGCTAGATTCTCGTCTAATAAAGTAATGAGTGTGAATGTGAAGAATGTTTAATTATCTGATCACAACTGATAGTCTGTTCAATCTGATAATAGGTGAAATAATTACTATCATGTTTTGATTGGCGGAATGTCTTGGATTCACATCGCAGTAAATGATTTTATCCAGTGTATACTCTCTCAATAGATTTAATGAAGTGATCTGTATTGGAAGGGTTCATTTTATATTATCTACCTACTTCATCTAGAGTGTAATACTTTTAATTTAGTGATAAAGAACAAGCTTACCCTTTCTGGACGACTGTTACTACTCTTAAACAGAATTTCAACATAGCATATCATTTATTGTATCCTTCTTAGAGATAATATTAACTTGAATTTTCATCGGGGACGCTATGTTAATTTATTTATTTTTATTTCCACAAGACTCATTAAAAAAAGTTTATTTTGTCGAAAGAATGAAAGACAAGAATTCTACACTCTTCTACTTAAAGTATTTGACAAAGGGAGCTATGTGATTATTATTTGATTAAAATTATATCTTTGTCGACAATTTTAAGTTATACATCTGGGACAGGTTCATCAGTTTTCGGACGACAGAAAACTGCATCGTTGCAATAAATCTACGAGCTACTGTAGTAGTAAGACAAGATACTTTCGTATAATATGAGGTATTACCTTGGCCTCGATGGATTGTTTTGTTCCAGGACCTTTCATCTAATCTTATGGTTCTTTAATGAGGTACTTTCAAAAGAGTAACATAAACTTAGCCGTGTATGATAACAAAAATGTATCTTCTATACTACCATAAATATATCAACTGTAATCTCATAGTTTTAATGGCCTTTTTTCAATAAAATGGAATTTACACTGAACTTAAAAATAAAAACAAACAAATTTAAACCAATTTGCCTGGTACAAGTATATTCCTCGTGCTAAATTTTATTCAATGTTATCGAGTTAATGAATTCCATAAGTCTTTCAAATTATGTGAATGTGCATACCATTTTTATACAAATCTACATATATCTCGTTGTATCGACGTAGATAGATTTATTTAGTCACACTCTTCATTGAAAAGTAATTAAAAAGTACGAAACGACCTGTGATGGTTTCAAATAAGATGTACCATAGAGCCTCACTATAGAGACCAATTTTACAAAGGTGGACCTTTTTTATAGGAATAATCAATAATAATGATACTAATCAACGTTCTATGAGTCAACCTGACACGCATCGACATGATCATCAGTTCCACTTGTTACCACTCTAACAAAACTAGATCCTATCTGTAACCATCCAGTTGATTGTTCTTGCTGGATAGTCGATCCAAGTTTTCATAAGATCGCCTCGACCGAAGCCTACCTTAAGATTTTTATATTTTCTTTAATTTCCCTTTGAGAAAATAACTTATAGAATTGGAAATGGAAATGGAAGTTGCCGTTGGCAATAACAAACCAACAAGTCACACCTTGATACCAACCAGACCAGTATAGTATTCATCCATGGATATTTACTAAACATTGATCTTATATCACTCATAATCGGAATACACCTTTAGAATATTTATTAAAACTAATTCGTTATTTTATGCTTAGGCCTATATAAAGACTGAGGTTGATACTATATCAGAATGGTTAGAATAGTGCAACATCTCAAATACATCTTTACACGTTGAAACCTTACATGAAACATTCCTTGGCTGACCTGTTATACCTATTCTTCGGTCTGTTAGTAAACACTTCGACTTCTTGACCACTTTATTGGATTTCTAAAAGGACATTCAAATTGAAGTTGTAGAATAACTTTGCATCATATGCCTCTTGATTTTAGTTTATAATGGCACATAAAATTTTTGAATTCCAATGAAATCAGTGAGTTGGTATTTTTTTATTTATGGAGATGCGACCTTTCAATTTCAAAATCATTCTGATCCTGGTCGGAAATTTTCAGACGTTACTTCCGGCTATGCAGGGCCGTAGCAAGAAGTCTTTTTTCTATGAGGCAAATATCATGTTGTCTTTGAAGTCAGTAAGGTCTTTTATTGCAACACCCTCTATATATAATAACAACTTATAAAGAATATTGTTGGAGGGATCTCAGAGTTGTATACGAGTCCTCTCAGGGTTGTAGACGAGTCCTCTCAGGGTTGTAGACGAGTCCTCTCAGGGTTGTAGACGAGTCCTCTCAGGGTTGTAGACGAGATAACTGTAGACGAGATGACATGTAGACGAGTTCACAACCACTTTTATTGTAGGCATCAAATTAGTGATATATTTAGCGGGAATTGTATATATATTTTAAATTTTTCAAACAAACAAATACTTACGGCCCTGTATGTTGCTATAGAATTACAGAAATTACAGATTTTACATTTCAATCTCTGGTTCTGAAAATGCTTATCAAATAAAAAAAAATGCTATAAATCTCGTTCCATGTCAATTCAGCTATAATACAAATTGCACAAGTCAAAATCAGCAACGCCAGTGTTAGTGATCAAACAAGATGTTGTACGTTGTAAACTATATAGTAAATCATTTAGGAATAACAGGAACTATTCTATATTTCATTGATCTCGGCTAACTGATACTTTCAGTTTAGACTATGAATATTAATACCATATGCTTCGTCGACTTAATGTTTCTTTATTGGCTTTCAACCAATTCAAATTCAGTAACGGTTGTATCGCATTCATTTAATTTTAATTCCAGTGATTATTGGTCGACTTTAGTCAAAATTATCACAGCGACATGTATAACAAACATCGAAATATTTTCTGTGGGCATTTATTAGGATATTTTATTTATGCTGCTCCGACTGTCGAATATAGAGAACATCACAGGCTAAAAAGAAATAAATACTTACCTTTTAATTTGAGAGATTCTTTAAGTTCAATATTAACATGTCCAAGAAGAATTTCACCAGTGAAGTATACGCCGTGAGCATTGTTTAGGATAATTTCAAACTCTTTCAACTTCCCCATGGCTTACACCTCAACAAAGACACAGTCAGTCGATAGAGAGTTGCGTTGTCGACTGCAGGGTGATAAGGTGCCGTAAGATGGAACAGCTTCTCCTCCAAACCCAATGAGGTAGCTGTTGAGGTATTCTGCACAGGAAATATCAATTTAGTTCTGATTAATATAATCAAGATGAACATTCAAAAAATTGTTTCACCGAACTCATTCCTCTGTCCAAAAAGCAATTTAAGAACACATGATTCACTAGATTCGCATCACATTTATTTATATACGTACAAACAATCTGTCTGTGACAAAAACTCCAATTCCTTTCCTCAGATTACTGAAAAATAAAAAAAATAGAATTGAACTAACTGTCAAGGCATCATCTATAAATAACAGTAAAAGACTTGTAAAGTGTCAGATTGCATGACGTAGTGGAATTATAGACTACTGTTAGATATCAGGTGAGACCCATTAGTCTGATCACAGATATTAAGTGTAATGTCACTCTTTGTCACAACTGAACGTTTGGTTCGGGAAAGTCGGCAATTGCAAGATCAACCATTCCCGAGACAAAGGCCGAATTCTTGAAGACCTTCACTTTTGCAATGCTGTAAAACCTTTCCTGATCAATGCTCGCACAATGAATAGTGGTCAATGAACTGGTCAACAATGTCTGGTCTTTACCTTACAAACTATAGTGTGTAAAAGTAGTAAGGCACCGTTTCAAGACTCAAGACCTACAGTTCACATTATAAAGACTCGTGCTGCTTTTATATAGTTTACCATACACGTTTAGTTGTAAAAACAGAAGGCTTGCTCGATAACCCTGTTTGTACCAATAGAATTATATGCCACATGGGAGTGTGTGTGGAATAAAAAACATAAATCTTGAAAGATAAAAAAAAGAGGCACAGTGAATGTCATTCTTACATAATAAGTGTTTTGAACGGCATTGTTTATGTTTGTAATGATATGCAGACACCAAAACAATCATCAAGGTGTGAAACTGTAAATCGTATATCTTGACACATATTAAGGTGTGAAATGTACCGTATTGAACCGAGATCATATTCATAAAGCTTTAAACTACATTGATGTTACCCTTAAAACATACTAGAGTAACCTCTTAACAAGCCCAGTTGATTTCTGGTGCACTCGTTTAGCTTGCTGGATCAAAATGGGTAAATATGCTCATGTTGCAATTAAACAATCCATTAAAATCGAACTCCGAACTCATTCAAGGTCTAATCATAGAATAGTTCTATAGTCTTTTAAGACTAAATACCCGTGACAAACTGAATTAAAGATGGGTTCCCTAATTTTCCTTTATGAAAATGAAAATGCTAATACTTATGTCAATTGAAAATAGAAGTGTGCTTATGACCTGGAAAAATACCAGTTTGTCTCACATGTCCATAATTAATTCATAATTTGCTGAATTAGAAGAGATTTACCAGCAGAATTCCAATGAGTGACCGATGAAGAAAGGTCAAAAAGTCTTTTTTTTTTTGTTTATCCAGACTGTACATACATGGACATTTATGATTGGTTAAAACTATTAATTATATGCAATAGGAACATAATGATATGATTAAGAATACATGATAGTTCATTAGAAACACAAATTAATCAAATAGTTTGCTTAATTTGACACTAAAAAATAAGAAAAACCATCTTTAAGGTTTTATTGTTATATACAAGAAATGATAACTGAACCGCATTCAGAGCGACGTCAATAAACCCTTCATCTAAAACCTGATTTCTAGTCTTTTGGATGTTTGATTAAAATTGGACAGTCTCTTACATCTCATTCTCTCCCTATAATCATCATTTTGTAACGTGTAACTGTAAATATATTTATATTTGAGTGAGAAATTTTCCTTCCAGATTTCGAGTTATTTTGTTATTTTTTTCCGAAAAGCAATCATACATGAAATATACACACTGTCAAGTCCAAAGCAATGGCGTAGATGTAGAAACATTTTTCTTTAATATGATTATTACATTATTGTCAATATAATTTAGGCTATAAATGACACTCTGTCAAAAACGAGAGGCTATTAATTGTTTTATCATACATCAATATGGATATTTGCATGTCCGTAATAAATAATTGAAATAACTTCACGAATCTTCTTGTTGTTTTGATGGTATCGACTTTATGACGTCTTCTGACCCTTCTGATCACAGAAAACTGTCTGGGAGGTCGACATCTGTTAGCTAAATATGCACATTAGAAATATATAATATAATCACAGTGTAGACAGAAATAAAGCTAACAGCACCCTATCATCACTTAAAAACAAGTTATTTTCTGTAATACAAGAAAGTCTGTTGTCTCAATATATATGAAAGTTAAACTGTAAAATAACAAAATTTTAATTTACTTGCGTAAAGCTAACATCCAATGAATTTAGTTTACTTACATTATTTTGTATTCGTTTCTTGAAATGTCGATGCCAAACTTTCCTGATGCTTTAGCACCCTGCGATCGTGTTAAACTATAAAGTTCACATTCTACGTTTGGTAAACACTGGACCATATGTTTCTTTCTTTAAGAAGTTTAATAGTCTACACTAGTTCCACTCTACATACAGCTGGGAACTATGTCTTATACTGTTGATTAGAAACTCTATAGAAACCTATCTCTCACTGTAACAAAACAATTCTATAAAGAACTTGGTCTCCTACTGGTGTATAAGTAATAACGTCAGGAATAGCTCTCCTGGGGATACCCTACTCTTTATATCAAACTTTAATGTTCTGTTAAACTGTCGGAAATATTTCAGAGCTTCCAAGTCAAATACCGACAAGACCTGGTATATTTAATTTCAATACATATCACTTTGACTCGCAGAAACTTTCAACCAATCATGTTCCAGATGCCAATTTACTCCACAATTTAATTGGCTAATTTCAAAATTTAAAACCTACATTAAGGGAATAAAAGGAATGTAAAATTTATAAACTATTGAAATATTAACTGCGTTTCCATTGTCAATTGTGAAGGAAAGCTAGCTCTAAGCTAGCTTAGAGCTAGCTTTATTGCCGAACACGTTGCGTTTACACTGAGTTTTTCTGGTTCCCGAACGACTTTGGTCTCGATCATAAAGTCGCACATTATTGACAGCACGCGATGTACAAGACTATCGTTAAATCGGAAGTACATTATTGCGCATGACCACTTAAGGTAAACAAAGCAATAATGGCGGCCAATTCGATGTTAACTTATAAATTTTTAGTTAAAAAGAAGAGAAAACGCAATTCTTACAGTGGATGTAACTTAGACATTCGTAGATACTTGCAGCGACGAAAGAAAGTTCAAATGCTGGTTTTGATTCTGATAAGAATTCTTTTTTCCGTTTGCTATGGAAGCTGCCATTTTTAAAGTTGCGCGCGCTGCCGGAAAGACAAGTACGCCCCCTATTGCCGAACGAGAAAAAGCCGACTTTTTATGTCAGTGGAAACACAGTTATTTACAGATATTGTTTATTTCTCGTGCATGTAGATTTTGATCGTGGAAATTCAAACACCGTCTTCAAGTGATAATCATTCTATACCGGTAACCCTTTCTCTTTGATGAATAGCCTACTGAGTTTCTCATTACTTATATAATCATTTCTGCATCTTTATTGAAACGTATGGACTTTATTTCAAGCGTTTTAGATTCTATAAATCATGATTGGAAATTTGTTAATTTAAATTAGCCTAGGTTTACAGTATTTAAAACGTATCCAAACCAATAAATGTATAAATTGAACTCTGTGAAAGAGGATTCTGCGATTCAAGTGGACCAAATTTCCAGAGCAAATCTCTAAAACATCCAAAGTTTGTCCACGATAAAACTTAAAGTACGGTACTATAATACGGAAAAAGCAATAAAAAAAAACTTTGAGACACATTATAGTGAAGTCTGTCAAAAGAACACTAGTCAATGAAAAGGAAACTGTGGACGAGGGGAGGCAACCTCGATTAGTACAGTACTTTAGCGTAAATCACTGTAGTTTGTAGTCTATTTGAGTATTTTTGGTACAATAATTTCCCCCAATTAAGGGAGGTAATTCATATTTTACTCTCATGCCCGGCGTGTTTTTATCAGAGGTCTAAGGACGGTTGTATAACATAATAAAGAGTGTGAGAAAACATTTATCATTTAGATTATTATAGATCTACAAGATGATTCGCAATTTTGTGCGACCAAGTAGCTGTCGTAAATTTCAGGTTAGTTTAAAGGGGTACAAAATTTTTATTTTGACATAGCTTCTATTTGCTATTCTGGAACTTCGACTTGAGTGGGCCTACTACGGCCGTGGATATTCGCCACCCAGGTGAAGAATAGTCTACGTCCATTAATTTGACTATTCGCCATCCGGGTGGCAGAAAAATCTCTAAAAATTCATGAAATGTCAGCCTTTTTGATATAATTGTTTCTTTCAGTGACATATTAGTCGACTCTGAGTAATTTGTAATGGATTTTGTCAGGTTCAGACAAGACCGTGTTAATATAAATTGAATTTCTTGCAATGAAACGAAAGTAGAAATTCCGCCATTTTGTTTACACCAAATTAGCATACATCCCAAAAGGCCCAGTTAGTGTTGCTATGAAATTTAGCATCATCAAAAAAATGAAATAAAATAAAATTTTACGTCCTACTTTTCTGAACCTGTATGGGCTACTGAGGATGGGCAAACGCCATGCAGTGTGCAATGAGGGAAATTTTGTCAGGACAGCGACATTAGCCTACTCTTATTTTCGATTTCCAACTGTCGAGGGATCTTTACGTAAGTAAAAAAAAAAGGTTGATAAAGATGTGTAAATAGTAAATAATAAGACATAGCAGGCGCGTGTCCAAATTGTGTCACATTTATCCTAGACGCATTTTCCAAGTAAGCCCTTCTGATCCCAAACACCGACGAGGGGAAATCGAGTCGAAAAATCCAAAGATGGTTGGAGCCATCGCGAATGTGTAAGTAATGTATGTGGGTGGTAAATACACTGCATTGGGGTGGGTGGAAATATGTATTCGAGGTAATAAGGTTTAAGGTATAATAAGGCGTACGATGCTGTGGGTGGTAAGTAAAGTGTACGGGTGGTAATAAGGCGTACGGTAATACACAATACTGACTGGTGGTAAGTAATGTGTAAGGGGGGTAATTAGGCGTACAGTAGTACACAATACTGACGGGTGGTAAGTAATGTGTAAGGGTGGTAATAAGGCGTACGATAATACACAATACTGACGAGTGGTAAGTAATGTGTACAGGTGATAATAAGGCGTACTATAATAAACCATACTGACAGGTGGTAAGTAATGCGTAAGGGTGGTAATAAGGCGTACGATAATACACAATACTGACGGGTGGTAAGTAATGTGTACGGGTGATAATAAGGCGTACTATAATAAACCATACTGGCGGGTGGTAAGTAATGCGTAAGGGTTGTAATAAGGCATACGATAATATACAATATTATTGACGGGTGGTAAGTAATGTGTACGGGTGATAATAAGGCGTACGTTAATACACAATACTGACGGATGGTAATAAGGCGTACGATAATAAACCATACTGACGGGTGGTCAGTAATGTGTAAGGATGGTAATAAGGCGTACGATAATACACAATACTGACGGGTGGTATGTAATGTGTACGGGTGATAATAAGGCGTACGGTAATAAACCATACTGACGGGTGGTAAGTAATGTGTACGGGTGATAATAACCCTGTGTTCTTGGTTACCACCCTCAGCTCTTGTTCACCACCCTAGCTGTTGTTCACCGCCATCAGTTCTTGTATACCACCTTTAGTTCTTGTTTACCACCCACAACTCTTTGTTACCACCCTAGTTGTTTTTCATTAATCTAGCTGTTGTTTCCCACCCCAGCTGTTGTTCACCACACTCAATACTTGTTTACCACTCACAATACTTGTTTACCACTCTCAGCTCTTGGTTACCACCCTAGTTGTTGTTCATTAACCCAGCTCCTGTTTACCACCCCAAATCTTGTTTACTGCATTCAGCTCTTGTTCACCTACCCTCGGTTCTTGTTAGCCTCCCTCAACTCTAGTTTACCACCCACAATTCTTTTTGCCACCCTAAACTCTTGTTCACCTACCTAGTTGTTGTTTACCACCCTCTGTTTTTGTTTAACTCTTAGTACCACCCTAGATGTTGTTCATTAACAATGCTCTTGTTGAACACACCCAGGTCTTGGGTGCCACTACAATACTTGTGTAACACCTACAATTGTTAACCACCTTAAGCTCTTGCTCACCTACCTAGTTGTTGTTTACCACCCTCAACTCTTGTTCACCATCCTAGCTGTTGTTCACCACCCTCAGCTCCTGTTCACCACCCACAGCTCTTGTTCACCTACCTAGCTGATGTTTACCACCCTAACACCCTCAGCTCTTGTTTACCACCCTAGCAATCGTTCAACACCATCAGTTCTTGTATATCACCCACAGTTCTTGTTTACCACCCCAACTCTTTGTTACCAACCTAGTTGTTTTTCATTAACCTAGCTGTTGTTTACCACCCTTAATACTTGTTTACCACCCTTAATACTTGTTTACCGCCCTTAATACTTGTTTACCACTCACAATTCTTGTTGACCACACTCAGCTCTTGTTTCATTAACATAGCTGTTGTTCACCACCCCCAGGTGTTGTTTGCCACCCACAATACTTGTGTAACACCCACAATTCTTGTTTGACACCCTAAGCTCTTGTTTGCCACCCTAAGCTCTTGTTCACCTACTTAGTTATTGTTTACCATCCTCAGCTATTGGTTCACCACGCTGGGTTATTTTTACCACCCTAGGTGTTGTTTACCACCCGTAGGTCTAGTTTAGCAGTCACAATTCTTGTTTACCAACCTACATTTGTTTACCACCCTCAGCTCTTGTTCACCACCCTCGGTCCTGTTTGAGGACCTGCAAATCTTGTTTACCACTTCCAGCTCTTGTTGACCACCCTCAGCTCTTGTTTACCACCCCCAATACTTGTTTACCACTCGCAATTCTGTTTGCCAACCTCAACTTTTGTTAACCACTTTAAGCTCTTGTTCACCAGCCGATGCTCTTGTTGCTGTTAACCACCCTCGGCTCTTGTTTACCACCCTAGATGTTATTGATTAACCCAGCTCCCGTTTACTACCCAAAAACCTTTACTGCCTTCAGCTCTTGTTTACCACCCTCGGTCTTTGTTTACCACTCGTAGGTCTAGTTTACCACCCTCCGTTCCTGTTCACCACCCGCAGTTCTTGTTTACCACTTCCATCTCTTGTTCACCACCCTCACATCTTGTATACCACCCCAATATTTGTTTACCACTCACAATTCTTGTGTACCACCGACAATTCTTGTTAACCACCCTAAGGTCTTTTTTACCACTCTCAGCTTTTGTTCCAGCTTTCTTAAACTAATAGGGAATGTTAGGAATTCGCGCTTTTGGGAATCCGATTCTAAAAATCTTCAAAGGGTGGGATCTCCCACACACTACATAAAAAATCCTTAAATTTGCCGGGAAATGTCAAGAAAAAACGCTTCCGGGCTTAAAAAAAAAACAAATGCAGAGCCACGTGAGGTTTGTAGGTGACATGAATATCGAGACTAAATTTCATAGAAGTGATTCAAAAAAGTGGTGGCCAAATTGACTTTTCACCGGTTGACTATAAATAGCCATCCAATGGGACAGCGATTATCAATTATAAGTAGATGTTATTTTCGTACATTTTTCTGAAAAGAAAAAGCGTTTCTAATGAACATAAAAAAACATTATAATGCATGTAACGCTAGCTAGCCTTCACAGCTAATAATGTCAGTCTCTAGAGAAATTAAAGTTTTAAAAACGGGTGGCAAATAAAAAATGAGGGTGGCGAATAATTGTTTGCCACCCGGGTGGCGAATATCCTCGGCCGGCCTACTATCTCACGCAATATGACAGATAATTGCAACAGCACATTTAAAGACATTCTTTGGATATGGGGATTCCTTCTTATTGCATTGTTATTTATTTATCAATTATAAAAAAACCCAATAACTTGGGCTAAAACTTACTAGTACTGAAGTAGGAAATGCAGTGGGGACTTTTGATCATCCAGAGAGAGTAAAAGATCACCTGTCATACATTATCTTTGTTAATATTGCTAGTAGTTAATGACTAGGTCACAGGTACATAAACAACCCTGATTCTAATTGTTTTATTGGTTCTGAGGGAGCCAATTTATAGGCAGTGTGCTGTGTAAGAATGACAACATTTCATAATACTTTCAATTCACTATATTTGATAGTCTTACTTGCACATTTTTGTTTATCACTTAAATTATTTCAGAAATTAGTATTTCAAAGTGGCCAGCAAGTCAGACTACGTTCTAATCTTCCTGTAAATACAGTTATTAAGTTTGTTCCACAACAAGAAGCTTGGATAATAGAAAGATTTGGAAAATTCAACAAAATTCTGGAACCAGTGAGTAGTCTTGTAGTTCATATAGGCCTATATTATGTAGGAAATGAAACTTTCATAACAAGTTCTTATTTCAATAGATAAAAAAATATATTGAAAACTTAAGAAAATATTCCATTTAATCAATTAATGATTACTGTTTTATTTCAAAACTGTTATCATTTTGGTCTTTTTTATATTGCAGGGTTTGAATATTTTGCTACCAATTATAGACCAAATAAAATATGTCCAGGTTTTAAAAGAATTGGCAATTGCAGTGCCTCACCAATCAGCTATCACAGTTGGTAAGTAGGCCTGCAAGTACCTAAAAGTGTTTATAGTAATTGTAAGGATATAAGTGACCATGTTTTCTTGACCTGATTGGTTTTTCTAAACAGAAGTGTGATTTTCATCAAGCACTATCTTATGTATATTTGTTTAATCAAAATTATGTTAATGAAGTTGAAACTGTCATCAGACCTAGTTGCATGTTTCTTATTGTCCTCTGTTTTAATTACAGATAATGTATCACTCATGATGGATGCTGTTTTATATTTGAAGATTGTGAATCCATATAAGGTAATGTTAATATTAAATATAATAATGACCATTGATTTGTACATATTTGAAATTTTCAATAAAAATAGTTCTATATGTAAAATATATATATTGCATTATTCTAACTGTAAAGACTAGATATTTTCTAAATAAAGGATTTGGTGCAATATATTAGGCTCACATTTTAATTATCAAAATCAGTTATATGAAATAAGGATGTTTCTAGTAATAGAAATATCAGTGTCACTTTTTTTTCAAGGCGTCATATGGAATAGAAGATCCTGAATATGCTATAACTCAGTTGGCACAGACAACAATGAGATCAGAAATTGGTAAAATAACATTAGATGGTGTTTTCAGAGAACGAGAGTCACTTAATACCAATATTGTTTGTAAGTATAATAGGCCTTACTTATTGTTATTACAGTACTGATAATAAATCAAATTTGTTTGATGTACAATTTATCAAGATGCTGATGCTTATTTGAGAACCTTTTTTGGTGTTGAAATATTGATGACGTTTTCATTATTTGTTTACAGTATCAATGAATAAAGCTTCTCTAGATGCCTGGGGTATAGATTGTATGAGATATGAAATACGTAAGTAGAACAAATGTTTGTTGGATTTATTTTGATAGGAAGATCTGTCCAGTTTGAAATGTTATTGTTTATGTACATCATGTGGTGGTTATCTCAACCTGGCCCAAAATATTTCATTTGGATTATCGACTGATATTTGTAGGTGATGTTAAAATACCTGACAGAGTTCAAGATGCTATGCAGATGCAAGTTGAAGCTGAAAGAAAGAAGCGAGCATCTATTTTAGAATCTGAAGGTGGGGTAACTAATTTCCTGTATTGTGTTGATAAAAATAGTAGATGTTAACATAAGAGTATATTTCAAGATAACATACAACAGAATTGAACATAAGAGATTATCACTTCTATCAAAACTTTGCATAAATAATTAAGAGAAAGTTGATGTGACTCCATCTTTCAAATAATGGTCCATGAGCTGTGAAATGATTGTATTGTACACAAACCCCTAGCCTTCCTGAACCTTCTTATCATAACTTAAGGTATCCGAGAAGCTGAAATCAATGTAGCTCAAGGTAAAAAACAATCTAGAATTTTAAACTCTGAAGCTAATAAAACAGAACAGATAAACACTGCTATGGGTAAGATTGTTAATTTTGTTTGTTTTTCTTCAAAGAAAGTGCAATTTCCAGAAATCTTTTTAATTCTGTGGTTGAAATATTAAAATCTTTATTCTTGCCGAGTGAATTGGTGATAGTGATTTAACACAAGATTCATAAGTTTCTAGGACATGTTTATTCTTTCAGAAACACATTTTCTAGCTAATCTAAAGATCAAGACATAATCATATTAACCCTATTTCCTTATTCAAGCACACTTAATTACAGTGTCTGTTTACAGGTGAGGCAGAAGCTTTGATAGTTAAAGCTAATGGTAAAGCTAAATCTATAGATATTATTTCATCTTCACTATCACAACAGGTCAGTTTTCGAAATTTATACTGTTCGGCTTTTTCTACAAGGATAGCGTAGTGTTCAAGGACCAGCTCATAAAAATCTTTCAATCAATCAAACAGTCATAATTACTGTCTCTGTGAAGGTTTTAAGTCTTCTTCTTTTTAGATTAGAATTCAATTGTTTCAGCAAGCTATCCTTTTTAATCATGTGTTATATGACACTTATGATACCGATATTCTTTTGTTGTAGAATGGGGCAAATGCAGTAGCTTATAATATAGCAGAACAGTATGTTAGTGCATTTGGTAATGTAGCTAAGGAAGGCAATACACTTATTTTACCTTCTAATGCAGGGGATGTACCCAATATGGTTGGTCAGGTAGGATACCACCAAATGATATAGTGAAGAAATGAAACTTATAAAGTGGTGTCAGATTACCAAAATTTTTTTACTTACAACTGAGAAACTTTCAAAACTATATACAGGCTGATCAATAAACCATTTCCATTTTGTCCTTAAACAATTTGACAAGTATAGCCTACATTTCATGACATTATTATATTTTCTATATTTTAATACACTTTACTTTCTTTCCAGGCAATGGCTATTTATAAAAATTTAAATACAACACAGCCTCCAAGTGAATCAAAAAAACATTTACCTGATTCATCAGATTATGTTAAGTATCCACCAAAGAGTGCTAAATCTAGTTCAAAAGATGACCCTAAGGACTAATCTTAAACTGATACGCATTCATCAACTATCTCCTCAGATACTGAAAAAACAATTGATGACAGTTTGTGATGTATATGTGAATGGTGTATTGTGGAAAGATTTATATTATGAACTATGTTTGATGTCATCAAGGGCATAGTCATATGTCAGATCAATATTATATTTCCTATCATGGTGAAAATGAGTATTATGATTATTCTCGAAATGCAAGTTTTATGCAATAATTATTGTTTCTTAAAACTGCTTCTGTCGTGATAATTGCCAAATATCAGTACATGTATTTAAACCCATTTGATATTGGTATCATTATTCCATATATTACAACTATTTTTTTAATAGCTGAAAGGCTTACTGAGTGACCGCTTGAAACCTTGTATAACGTTAAATGACACGAAATTACATTTTGAGAAAAATGCAAAAAACTGTTTATATGTGTATTTGGTTAAGATCATATTTATTATATATTTTTACGACTTTTCACTCAATTTAAACCTGGCATAATGATTTCAGCACAAAGATTGAAACCTTGTATATAATATTTTACTAGGTATTAAACTTGACTGTTGATGCAACCACTTGTCTATATTTCTGCTATAACCAGGAGGTTTAGTTAAGAATAGGTTGTATACACAGAACATTTGTGTGAAATAAGTGTTTCTGCCTTGTACTCTTCTTTTCTTAACGTATATTAGCTGGTGGTAATGTGGGGAATAATTCCCTACTCAAAAAGTGGAGTCCTAAGTTGCCAATAAAATATACTGTTTTTGTGTCATAATTGTTTGTTAAATTGTAAATTGTAATTGTTTAATATGCAAAACAATCTTATGAAAGAGAATACTTATAGAATTATTTATTCCTCAAAGATCAAAGCCAGATCTATCCATTGTTTATTTGAAAAAGATCTTTATTCCATAATGATATACTTTGCTATATCATTTCTGCCATCAGTAATACTTTAAAGAAAAAATACTAGACACGTCATCATTTTTCAAGTTAACACATTAAAATCATACTGATAAATTATACACTTCTCCCATTTTAATCTATTTAAGATCTACCTATCTGCACACATTAATCGACTTTGAAGACTTTATGCAAAAACAATTTTTTTGAATTAAGAGAAGGTCTTAAGCTTTAAGCTCTTAACTTCATTAATGTGTCGAATCATTTTTTGCACTGGCATTTTCATCCAGAAATTTTATTAACAAACGCGCTAATTCTGATCGTGTGTACGGTAGGACTTATTTAGTGTCTAGGGTCTTGAACCGGATAACCTCTGTCAAAATTAGGATATCATAAAGTTGTTGTTTGTTTTTATCGTTTTTTATAAAAGCACATCTGTCACTTAAACAATAGTTAATTAATCTTATTGATCACAAGAAGGATTAATTAGTAACAAACTTAAAGCGCATTATTCCAATATAAACAATGATTTCTCCCTCGACGAGCTTTTCAATTTAGGAGGTTGATTTGGTGCATTTAAAGAACTCTTTAATGTTAGAAGGTGTATTTGTGGTGTTTGATCGAATCTGAAAATGACCGAAGATCGAGTGAAAAGATATGAAAAAATCGACTTTTTGGGAGAGGGGCAGGTAATTGTAATTTTTGACAGTATAAGAATGATACCTTGCTGTTCATTTTAAATATCGATCATTGGAATTGGTTATATATGGTTGCCGGTTAAATCTAGTTGCTAGACACGATAGCTCTTGAAATTGCCGGCATGTTATGTCGTGACATGTTCTGTTGGCACTTTAATGCCAACATAATATCATGACCTATTAGGCCTATGTATATTTGAAAAGACAAATATATAGAGTATTAGTGTACATGAAGAATTTCTCTAAAATAATTACTTTGATAAATTCAGAGTTTTACCTATCAGCCCTCTGCAGGTACCACTATTGCAATTTTTCCGTCAATAAATGCTTCACTTATTAAGACTAAAAATATAGGTGAGAGATACTGCAGGAACATCATTTTGTTGCTATAAATACACTTATACCCACAGGAAAATTATAACATGAGATTATTCTGGAATTTTTATAACATTATTTTATACACAATCATGTATAATAACACAGGATTGATCCATCAGTGAATTTTATTTCAGTTTGCCACTGTTTATAAAGCCAGAGATACTAAAACAGATCAAATAGTTGCTGTTAAAAAAGTAGGTTTGAATATGTACTAGCTTAGCTGTGACATTAATGAGATTATTTAGAATTATGCTGTATTCCATTTAAAGGAAAACAACACCTGACATCAAATGCAACTTTTGATCTTAATTTGCTTTTCTAGCCTCATAATATGTGGCCAGTTTGATGCCTATTACTTTTTTTCACATTTTCCTAGATTTTCTCCTACCATATAATATTGTATCTTCTACTTCTAGATTAAGATAGGGACGAGAGCTGAAGCAGCTGATGGAATTAATAGAACAGCTTTACGAGAAATCAAATTATTACAAGAAATAGAACATCCAAATATTATTGGAGTAAGTTTCGTGTTATCAGGAATTTCATAGTTTTGAAAGCTTTTGTAACTCTTTATAGGATAAAAAGTAACCAGTTATTGATTGCTGACAGTCCAATATGATTTTATGATGTTTTAAGTGAAAGTGTTCCTGAAATGAAAATATCATTTCACATACCGGTACTCTAGTTCATGTTCCAAAATCTTAATGTCTCTTTTCACATAACATGTACAAATACCTTGCTAGAGTATTCATTTTCCTACATTATATAAATTAAATTTTGTGTAAATGAAAATGTAATATTTTCAAAGATTGAAACACAAACTATTTTATATTAGTTACTAGATGTGTTTGGTCAGAAGTCTAATATCAGTTTAGTTTTTGATTTTATGGAAACAGATCTTGAAGTAAGTTTGAACATTGAAAATTCAATACTGTCTGGCCCATAGAATCATCACAGTCAAAGTTTTAATTGAGAACTTTGATTGACCTATATTTTATTAACATCATGCATATCATTTTGAAACTCGATCAATTTTTTCTCACTACTGGCAAAACTAGTGTGTCTTGATTAAATTACTTTTTTCAGACTGGTACAGGCTTAAAGTCTTTCAAAGAATGAATGAAGGAATGATATCTGTGATCTCTGTAGTTAATCAAGGACATCATTAGTTACATGTATTTTATAGTGTATTCAGCTAATTGATACTTTATATTTTACAGATTATTATAAAAGATAACAATATAGTTTTAACTCCACCTCATATCAAATCATATATATTACAAACATTGTTAGGATTAGAGTATTTACATTCACATTGGATATTACATAGGGTATGTCTTTCTTATTTTTTAAATATCAATTCTAAAGAAAATTATTTCTCTCATTAGTTGCCACATATCTCAAATTATTAATACATATCTAAGGCTATTGAAATCGAATATATTATATTTCTACATTCTTAGGCTTATATATAACTTTTACACCAGTATAAGAATGTAGGTAGAAACAGTCACGTTGTCTAGCATCAGGTTTTTTTATATAAAAAAATCTGAAGAATTAATTACAAGTAGAATGATTAACTTATTACATTTAACAGGATATGAAACCAAATAATTTATTAATGAATGATCAAGGTGTCTTAAAGATTGGAGATTTTGGTTTAGCTAAGTTTTATGGTTCTCCCAGTCGACCCTATTCACATCAAGTTGTCACTCGGTACGTATATAAAAAGATTTTTGATAAGAGACCTCGCTGTTGACGTATATTTCTAATATATAATCCGCATCGAAATAGTTGATTTTAAAATAAGTATTATATTTTTTGTCTTGCAGATGGTATAGATGTCCAGAATTATTATATGGTGCTAGATTCTATAGTACTGGTGTTGATATTTGGGCTGTAGGCTGTATCTTGGCTGAATTACTTATCAGGGTAATTTCCTGTTTCACCATGATGATATATATACAAGGCTGTATTAAATACAGTTGTCATGTGAAAAGAACCAAAGTTGGAATATTGAGGGAAAAGTTTGATAAATGTGATGAGATATGCAGTTCTTACTTACAGAACTCAAAATGTGTTAAGAATATATAGGATTTTTTCAAACTCTTTCATAAGAAATTGACATATTGATTATATTCCCGCCATATTTTTAGGTACCATTTTTTCCGGGAGATTCTGATTTAGATCAGTTGAGTAGAATTTTTCAAGTTACTGGTACCCCATCTCTCGAAGACTGGCCGGTAGGTTTAATTTTCCCATTGAGAATGTATCAACCTATGGTAGGATTAAATGTCATCTTATTTTCATACTTTTGATGTAAGAAGAATTGGAATGAATAAACATTTAAATTTAGCCACTAGATCTATTTATTTATTGATTTATCTGAAGACTTAAATCATAAATATGTATTTTGTAGGATATGAAGGCATTACCAGACTATATCCAGTTTAAAGAATATCCCAAACAACAATATAAAGATATATTTATAGCAGCTAGTGATGATTTGTTAGATCTATTAGAAGCCACTTTAGCATTAGATCCTTTAAAACGCTGTACTGCAACAGAGGTAGGTAATGTAGTACAGAGAGAGAGTGGGGGTTTTCACTGTGGGTAATGAGAAAGTAGTGTTCACCTATTGTACATATATATTGTATATAAATATATCTCCTTAACCAGGCTCACTTCATAATGTCTATAATGTACATAAAAGTTAAAATCCATATCATTGTCTTTCTGTCCAATTATGTGTATCCCTCATTGAAAGAATAATATTTTATACAAATCATATTTGACCAAGAACAATCACTTACTATACTTCCAGCTGCCATATTGTTTAATTTTTATTATTTATATTTATCCAGGCTGTACAGATGCCATATTTTAGTAACAAACCAGCTCCTTCTCGTGGAGCTCAATTACCTCGACCTGGATCTAATAAGATTATACCTAAAGAACAAGAATTAAAAAGAGCTGGTATTAAACGTAAACAAGCTGCTGATCAAGGTAATATAATATGTTATTGAAATGATGTATCTAATTTTCTTATATGATTTCAAATGTCATAGGGCTGTTCCAACTCCTATCATCCACTGAAAGTTAATTTTTACCCATAGAAATTGATCTCTAATGCAACTACCCATAGCAATTTGACTCTTAAACTGACCCACCTACTCAATAGTTAGCCTGGCTGTGCTAGCTCAAAACTGTATCTAAGAAAGAGAACACATTGTTTTCATATCAATCAGTGAAATGTTAAGAAACTGTTTGTTTTCTACTGACTGTTCTTGTCATAGAAATAGTCTACTGAAGGCAAGGCTGAATGGTACTTTTTAGTTTTTTTCCCTTGAATTTTAAATTTTACAAGATCTTTCCCAAATATTTACATTAAGATAATTGTATTTCTTTAGTGATTTGAATGGCTTGTTATAATAAATATTCTGGTTTCTGTATTCCTGCGAACTGGATGTTAAAATTGGTCCCAATGCAAAGGAGGTAAACAAGAATTTCAATGTGACAGATATACTCTTTTTCAGGGGTATTAGCCAAGAGATTATTGTTCTAATATTGAAGCAGACAAAATGACTTTAGTGGTCCTATTGATGTAAGTATAGAGCTGTAAGATATTATACTATTTGACCTAGTGCTGTTAAAATGGTTGAAATCTCAGTGTTAGTGAATGAGAGTGAAATGGTGCTCCTGGAAGAATCACTGGAGATAGGTGGTGAGGAACTGGATCTCAATTTTGGCCCAGTTGTTCAAAATTCTACTGTTTATCTTATGTTAAGATGTTTTGACTACTGGATTCTGTTTATGAATACAATATGTTGTAATGTTCACTAAAATGTATTTATGATGAATATGAATTATCAAATATTGATGTCCACAACTATACAGTATGTGACAATTTCTTTTTGCTGAGGAAAGTTGACAACCAAATTTGTGGCACCATTCTCTAAAATTTTCTGTAATAAAATATATTTGATTTAGATGATGTTTCTTTTGGTACCATACTGAATACCATAAACCATATAATTATGATCAGTTATTTCAAAGGATAAAAGGTTTTATAAATGTGTGACTGTCTTGTTAGTGTATGTGAGTTTATTAACAGATTGAATATTTACTCTCAATGTTTTCTAAGCCTAGTTTAGACCTTCTGAAAATTGATATTTTACAGTACTTACTGATTTTTCTTTAAAGCAGTGGAGGTATGTCATTACCTCAAAAGTCTACACAGTTACTTGTGTTGATGGTCATGTACCTCTAATTCCCAAAAATGAAATCACAGATTAGAGTCGATGATATTCCTTTTATTAATGTCAATGATGTTTAAAGGCACATGTCTTATTGATGATTACATTTCTTTTCTCTCTTTTTTGTTTGAGGATCCACCTATTGAAAGATACAAGGTTTTTTTTTTTTATTATCTCAATTAGTTAATAGTCCACCGTATTAAGGAATATATTTTTGGAAATGTAGCAAAAATTCTTGAAATTATTTCTCTTATAGAAGTATGGTTTTTATTCACTTAGGATATTAGTTACTATTTATTTTGTTGATTGTAATAACAGAATATGTAGTTTTAATTTATTTGTTTTTCTGATGTTATTGTACTTGAAATTGGAAATGAGAGGTTATATCCCTTTGTGAAAAAAATGCTGTAGATGTTATTAAATATTCATAGCTTAGTATTGTAAGTTCTAATTAAAATGAAAAGCAGAATGATAATTTGAGTGACGACTTCCTATTTTTGAAAAAAGTTACCTCAACAAGGGAGGTAACTTTGTAGATATAAATAATGATTTCTTCTGTGTCTCTTAAAAAGGATATTCATTGGCATTTTTTATCAGATCTGTCTGCTAGAGTTACCTCTCTTTCTGGAAAAGTAATTTTGTTTAAAGAGAAGACAAGAATGAATAATGTGAAATTACCAAATAAATGAATTATGAAAGATAAATTAAGTATGTCTGGTAAACCTGGTATGAATGTTAAATAATGTAACTGATATTGTTTTTGTTATTATTAAATATATTTATTATATTTTAATTATCACAACTTTCAATCATTATAAACTATTGAATGGAAATCCAACTCTCTATTTCCCATCCACTGGCTCCTCCAATAGTTCAGACTCATCTATATATGCCCACACCCCGAGAGAGTGAGAGTGAAGGTTAAGCGATCTACAGAAAGATATGATAGATAAATAAAATCAAATCAACAGCCTCTGAGCTGAAGCACAAGGATTTACTGAGATAGTCCTATAATAAGTAGGGACTCCATAAATTGTCTAAAACTGACATTTACTAGCTGCTCTTCACATCCAAAGTTTCTCGAGTTTCACACTGATCCCCTCTCTGATGTATTTATCTTTTAAATGTATGAAGTTTAAAGAAAAAAAAGTAATATATAAAAGTCCTCGTAGTCACAATCCATTTATCTCCCGTAATTTGATACGATTTTGGATATACCTTTAATAGCTTTTGTATTTTGCGAGATTTAAGGGATGATCATACCTGTTGGAGGTTTTTGCGATTTAGTACAAGATTTCTCGATATCTTGCGTTTGTTTACTTTTTAGTTCAAAACGTATATAATTCCAATTTTAAAAACATCGTCAACGGTGTTTTGGAAGATCATCCCCTCACTATTGAACACCGTGATTAGGTTGAAACCTTACTAATGCAAACTCAATGTGAAAATTGTCCACTTAAACGACAAAAGAACTAAAGAAATTGAAACTGTAATTTATTTAGGCCTGAACACACCTAACACTTTAGTAAGAACCTGAGAATTAACCCAATCATGCTCTAGTATTGTAAGATATCCAATTTCACATGTAATTCTAATAAAAGGATCGGTTTTTGCGACCCACTATATAGATTGAATTCCAATTAGTAACATATTATCACTCTATTTCCACCTCTCACTTCGTCTTCACACTGGAATTTTTCCTAATAATTGTTGTTGGTGAAGTGTATTGAGGGGTATTTGAGGAAACCGATATTCATTATCCTGCAAACAAGTGGAACATACACGTAGGCTACATGTATTTAATAGTAGATTAGTCTCGTACATTCATTACATCCTATATATAATAGCGAAAATGTAAATGGCATATAGGTGATGTCTCAACAGAATGTTTTCTGATCTCTGACCCACACCCATTTCTCACACTCATTGCCCTATTTCTTCAAACTTCATGGACTGCAATGCTTCTTGTTTTGTTTTACTGACGAGATATATATGTATATGTGAAATTAATGTCTACATACCACACACTTCCCTGAGTGACCTATTAAAATATATATTCTAGGGACCCTTATTCTGACACCGATTTGCATTCTGTAAAAAATTATACCATTGGGTTAGCTAGTTAGTTGATTTAGTTATTTTTGTCATTGATACCCTTCCATAATACTGTGTGGGTTCTGTATTTAGCTAACATTTATCTAAATGCAGTACAAGAGGAGGAGAAAAAGAATAATATTAGTTAGAAATTGAGAAGATTGTAGCAGTAAAAATAACCAATAGGATCTAATCAAATAATCAATGAATATAGTTTATGAATGGGGGAGGAGTGACGTCATTTTACCGTGTGAACCTATTGGTTAATCTTGACTCAGAGTGTTCAGAACGTGTTTAAGAAGAAACTTGCACCTTTTCTACGATTTCATTCACCGAAAACAAACTTAACCCGACACGGTAGGAGTGAAAACATGCGTAAGATACGCGTTTTTGCTGCATATTTGGAATATCTGCACAACAGATAAATGAGACTGATCATCACAAACATCACAGCAGAGTTAAGATTTAAAAAGGTAAATCAATTTGAATAATTATCTCAATTAATTTTAAACTATTGATATTGTTTATGCTTTTGCACGTTTATCGACCATACGTGCAGACTTTTATTTAGATCCTATCCAATCCTTTGCTATAGTTACAGTATATAGTTTAATTTTACATGGCAAGTTTTTATCTTCTGATCTCAGTTAATAATCTCAGATTCAAATTTTGTTATAGCATTAATGATTTCACCCGACGAAGCATAAAAGAATATTTTCACACAATAGGCTTTGCACTGATTTGTTTTAATTTGTCTACCTTTAGCAGGAAGGCAATCTCTTTAAAGGACGATTGCCTGTTTTTATTTATTTTTTTTTTTTTAAAATTCTTCGCTTCCAACCAAATCCGGACAAAAAACTGTAGGGTCTGAAAGAAAAGACTTTGAAAAGTCTGAAGGTTCCTCAATCATGACCTTTGCAGACCCCAAAAACGTTTCTATAACGTGCATGTTCTTGAGATTAATGCCAAAATAAATTGGAGGCAATCCTCTTTTAAATTAATGTGCAGTGGTGATTAAGTACAGTTCTAATTAAACCAACCTCACGTTTTAAACCTGAGCAAAAATTATAAACATTGCATTATCATGATATCACTCACACCCAAAGCTTTGACCGAGCTTCTTTCTCGACCCTTAGTTCCTATAGTGTGTATGTCTTTTGACCCGCCAGAAAAAGCAATTGGGTTTTCGGATTACGTGATGGAGTTTTAAGGAAAAGATCCAGTTTGGCTGTTACTCTAAACGGACTAGACAGACGATCTGTGGAAAAGGAAAATTAACTTGACAGATGGCAACGTAAACTTTTATTTGGAACAAGAACAAAAGAATATCATGCGTGGTATCAAATAGAAAGTCGTTCAACTCTGAATGCATTTAAAGAAGAAATAGCTGTTTACAGGCTTCATTTAGACATAATCTGTAAAAGGAAGAGTTAACCATGAAACGCAATTGAAGCATCTTGATATAACATTTCTCGAACCATTTCAGTAAGGATTATCTTTTTCTAAGACTATCCGCCATATTAACCTTAATTTAGTGCTTAGTCTCTTTAAAACATTGAGATATATCTCTGGGAATTTCAACCTACAATTGTCTACAGTATTAATTAGACAGAAATGATAAGAAATCCGTCTGTTTTTATGATATATCATTATAATTTGTATTGTTAATATCTTATTTCAGCCTAATAAAGACATAAAAATACACACCAAGTGTCATCATAGCAGATAATGTAACAACTTTTACAGATAATGTGTTGAAATTTTATTACAGTCTGTTTGTCATTGGAGTTGTCATCAGATCTCGGTATATTATTTTGTTGATTTTGCAATACATGATCCTTTCTTGAGCGCATACTATTGTGAGACAATCTTAGACCTGTATACTTCGAAGTTATAACAGATTTCCGTCATATCTTATATCAAATCTTTACAAAACGTTTAGAATGTGAATAAAAAGAAGTTCATCGTAAGATCGTTAATTTCAACATCAAAAGGAATGTAGCCTCCACCCGATACAGTCGTCTGTCTTAACGTAATCTGCAGATGTACGTCTAAATTATTACATTTTTTAACAATGGATAACTGAGGATTAATGTGAAATTGTGAATAACTGGGCGGTTTCAAGTGGCAGATTTACATGTAAAAAAACTAATATTTGAAGAGAATGTTAGCGATTTAAAGAAGTTTATTGCTGGGCGGTTTGTGATAATGATTTAAACATGCATTCATATTATCATTGACAAATTTAACATCATCACAACTTTCTTTGTATGTGTATCATACCACAATAAGGTTGCACACGAACTTGGAACCTGCTTGCAATTTTTTGTGATTTAATTATGTATTTGTTGAATTCGTTATATTGTTAGGATGATTGTAGGAAAAACAATATTGATTGTTCAAGGGAAGGAAAATACCTCTCTATGATACCAAAAAGGTGAAAAACTAGGAATGTTGTCTTCAGAAATAAGCCGATTCTAGGTTCAAAGTATCGCTACCCTACACCTTGGATAACAATACGAAGATATAAATTATTCATATTTGAATATACGATAACAATTTTTTTTATAAAGAAACGCTTTAAAGGAACATTTTTGTAGATCAGATAATTAGAGCGTGTACTCTTAACTTTCTTCTAGTTTTTCATCAAGCAATAAGAGAAATCATATTCCATGCTAGTATTGAGATTAATAACGCGACATGCTTGGCCCGGGTACAGAAGAATAATGTCTCAGACTTGTAATATTTTTCTTTGATTCAATTCTTTGATGCTTGAGTTAATGAAAATATGCACGTGCTTAAATGATTAAGTAGGTCACAATGAAAGGTTTTGTCGATAAAATAATAATGACGTTGCCTTTGATAACTTTAATCAATTTACAGTTAATTAGTGCATTAAGGTGTCCACCATGTGAGAAACTACACTGTTCTAGGTTATCAAAGTCGAGTTGTAAAGGGGGAATAACTACGAGTATATGTGGGTGTTGTGCTATATGTGCTAAAGTAAAAGGTGAACGATGCGGTGGTGAATATCAGTATTTAGGTAAATGTGATAAAGGACTGTATTGTCAACCATTAACAGACAAATCTAATATCATAATGTACCATGGTAAAGCAGAATTAATTGGTTCCTGTACCAAACGTAAGTGTTTCTTCTGCAGTTGACTCCACTTGCCTTGCATAATCTGACGAAATTGTTATGCATTCCACCAATAATATGCTCTTTAATACCACATACAACGTACAAAAGCTACCATTTGCCTGGTGGAAACATCCTATTTACAGTAAAATAAGTATTTTCTACTGACTGTATTGTCATAGTGAAATTCACTTCACTTTACCTTAACCTTAACCACTTCGATATTGTCGAAAAGTTATGCGAAACTTGTTAGAATTGGCGAGTTCCTTCTTGAAAGCCTGAAGTATGTCTGCTGCAGGGTATTTCTGGTTTCTGGCACCAGAATAGTCTGGAATGCTGTATTGTTTCTATCAATCATATTTACATTCTAGGCATAGCTTCTTTGCATAACTAGAATAAATGTGTAAATCTGTTGTGGCCATATTGCGACTGAACCGTCTTGGCATAGTTGTTTCCCGTGCAATAACATAACATTCTGAGGTGATCGATTTAGTACTGTGATTCAATGATACGGCTTTCTGAGCCAGCAGTCAAATAAAAATGCAGATGTTTCATTCTGCCAATCTGATTAAAATGCAAAAATATCTAGTTTCTTATTTTTCCTGTGGTTGACTCTACTTGCCATCCATGATCTGTTATGCATGTTCTATTCAACCAATCAACTTTTAACATATTGAAATTCATCAGATCATAGATGAAAATTGTAGATACCTGCAAAAAACATGCCATTGCCATTCCATGTTACTCTCCTAAATAACTTAGGCCTACATGATTCAGCAATTTATTCATTCCTGATGAATTTTGATTCTAGTTCCAGGTCCTCAGGCAGACGAAGGAAAATCTTCATATTGTAGGCCAGAATGTTCTCCAATATTTTGTAAGCGAAATCCTCGAGCAATCTGCTCTGCTATGTAAGTAAATTTTACACTTTTGGAAGACGTTTTTTTTAATGCCATTTACAATTTTTAAAATATATTTTGTACGACAATTTCATTGTAATTTTACCTCGTGTTACTTTTATGAACGTGATTGATATTTGATTTGATCGTATTTTAGCAAGGTGGCAGACATAAAACAAGGATGTCAAGAGCGATGTCAACATACGTCATGTAACGCATGTAGTTACAGAAAGGAAGCAGATTGTCCAAAATGCCGGAAAAACGACTTCCGGTGTATGAAGAAATACGGAAAATGTATAATGCGAGATTTTTGTAGTAGAAGAAAATTTCCGTGTAAACGAAAGAGATTAAAGGTAGGCCTATTTTAACTTAAAGTGATTGAAAATTGTGTATGTGTTTCGGATCAATTTAGTATCAATTTGCACGATTCCAATTTTCAGTCAAACGCCTCTGTGGTTCCTGCAATTCCACAAAATAAGTTTTTTTTTTACGCCACTGGGCCTAATCGCCAAAGTATCACATAAGGCTCTGCGCAATTAGTGACGTCATCGGACTTGTGGTTTTAGTGGAAGTGCAGGAACCACAGACGTACGTCTGACTGAAAATTGGAATGGTACAAATTGATGCTATCAGTGTCCCCGATACACATAAAAATTCTAGAGAACCTCTTTTAACTTGAAGACGGAATATTATTTTATTTCTAAGGTGTCAGTGTAATTAAGGCTAATAGAAGTACTGTTATCTATTTGTTTTATTTTGACTAATATTCCCCTGCATAGCCAACTCTCTTAAATTATCACCAAAGATTCTACACATACTATAGGACTACTACCATGTCCAAGATATCCGAAGGAACAGCTAGCTATTTTGGCTTGTGAGCTGTTGCCTAGTTGCATTTTTTGTGTGGTCAGGTTGAGGTGCTTAGAGATATTTTGTGCAAAATCTTCTCGGATTTCCCACCATAGCTTTACAACGTCAATGTTTATTTTCAGATTGTTGAAGATGGAAAGTTTGTGTGTAAAGTACCAGAGTGTTTAAAATGAACCTTAAAACTTTTTGTATAAGCTGTGGAAATTGGGATTTAGCGATGAAGAAAGATATTTTTCTTGACTAAGATAATGATCAAGCAAAAGAGGATACAATGTGTTAAATGGATGACAGCTCAAAGTGCAACTTTGCTTCCGTGAATACGTGAATGATTGATATAAGGTCTGCATTATGATTTTATAGACTACTGATAAAAATTATCTTCATTAATATAATTGTGTGATTTATCATCGCGAACAGAAATACAAACACCCACAAATTAAAACACAAACACATTGAACATAAACTTATTCCTTTGTCATGTTTATACTGGGGAAAACCCACATATATCTGAAAACTGTGAGACTGAACCAGAAATATCATTGTTTGTTTCCCACTAAATTCCAGAAATTGATGACACCGCATTTATTATCTTTTCTACTCTATTTTAGTTATAAAGGTCAGAACACCTTACTTCCGTACTTTTAAATCGGAAGAAATTTTCTTTGTTTTCGGTGAAGAATTTATCAGTGTTGAATTATTTATATTAATGCACATTGTTTTGAATGGTACACATTTCTGGAAATACTTTCTTATACGTCTATACATGAAATGTGGAGCGTTTATTTGCGTCACCCATTTCCGCCCGTCCACAATTTCTCGCAAACACTAGAAGACACCATGTTTGATAAAATTTAGAAACTTGGTGAAATTATTATCGCACAGGAATGGACCTTATTTAAATCAGAAGATAGCTTGCCAGGCAAGATAAACACTGGCCCACACGAGAACCTATTGAACATCAAAAATATTCTAAATAAAATAATTTTCCCTTGTTCTTGGAAACGGGTTTAGTTTTTAATTCGCAAACACTCTAGAATGCACAATTCTTTACAAAACTTAGTGATATTGTTCAGAAGAGTAGGATGAATATTTCATACTGGTGATTTTTAATGGCGTGGAAATGAGATCAGATTAGTAGAACGGAAATGAGGTCATGTAAACACAAAATCGCCAAAATTGATGAGATAAGAAAACATTTTTCCAGTACAAGTAATTATTTCAAACTAAGGTTTGATTTTCTCTCGGCTTCAATTCGAAAATCTTACTCAATTCTGTACCATCCATATTAATCATCATAACATCAATGGCACACTGCTTTTGTGCTGTTTACATCCACAAACAAAGCGTTAACAAGTGATTGGCTTTGATTATAGCTTAGAGTTTCCTATCAAGACAACAGGGTCAATTTTGATTGGACAATATTTATCGGCAGTGGCTATTTACCACTATTAAGCGTGGTAAATAGCCATAAGTACCCCTACAGCTATTTACCACGGGGTGATTTGATATTCTTTTTGGCAAAATTTGCTTAAAACTACCTAAATATTCAAAATAACGATTTCGAATTCAAAAACTCATCATTTTTATCAAAAATTCGCTTTTTGAAAAAAAATGTCGTGTTTGTTTACAAATAAATGTCAAGGCCGACTTTGAAGAGTTCACGGTTCAAGGCTGAATACTTCTCAATTCAAACCTATTTAAAAAGTTCCGCGTTGTATGAAATTTAGTGTACATTCATTTGTTCTTTCGGCAATAGATTTTATTTACAAAGCAGTCAAAATTTACTTTTAACCTTGTTAATGAATTGGAAAGCAGGCTTATTACAAGTATATCTATTTAAAATCAATTCAGGACTAATCTTCCGCAAATGATGGTAAGGGTATTTTGTTTGAGAATAATTTTTGAAAATAAATTCCTGTATTTTATGCAATTTGTCTTTTAATATTACTACCTTTTTTCAAGTATAACTACAGTGGCTTATTTAGAGGGTAGTCAAAGTGCCCTCCAAAAGCCAAAAAGGGGGTATAGGTTCCCCTCACCCCCCGTCAGTGAAATCTTGGCTGCGCCACTGAGTAAGTAATGTATATTCCCACAAAAATTGTTATTGTTAACACCTATCGGTGTTAAGGTGATTTGAGAATAAAAATCATAAAGAAGAAAGTGCAGGCCTAGGTAATGAAGTTTGAATTTTAAACGCGTTCATCCCTGTACATTTTCGGCCTTTTTCATGGTCGCCCCGAGTTCATTCGTCCTGGGTCCGTTCGCTCCACAATAATCCATAATCCATAAGGTTTGAACAAAATGTTTAAATATGCGTTATATTGTCGAAGTTGGTCACTTATGAATTAAAAAAGCTATCATGTGACTTTAAAAATACTGACTTGTTTGTCTTTCATTCAAACCTTTTCCAATGTGTCGTCCAGAAACTTGCCTTCACTAACACATGTTGTTTCTCAAAACGATTCTATATTCCTAAAAGTGTTCATGAATTAACATGAACTTCGAAACAAAGAAATAAATAATGTAAAAAACGCTAAAGTTCCTTAAAATTCTCAAGAAAGTGGCAACATGGCCCACTTTTCAACTCGATTAATGCAGCATTGAACAATTATTTTTAACCAATCAGAAACGGGATTTTTTTTGGCTAAGCCAATCAGTAATGGTGTTCACAGCTCACCGTCAAAATTTTAGCCTTCAAACTCACGTGTGTCCAGAATTATCCGTGTTCGAAACTACAGAAGAGATCAGTAAAAATACAGATATTGATAGTATTTGACTGTAGTATGTTGTCTAGGTCAGTAATTAATGATACAGATATTGATAGTATTTGACTGTAGTATGTTGTCTAGGTCAGTAATTAATGATACAGATATTGATAGTATTTGGCTGTAGTATGTAACTAGGTCAGTAATTAATGATGCAGATATTGATAGTATTTGGCTGTAGTATGTAACTAGGTCAGTAATTAATGATACAGATATTGATAGTATTTGACTGTAGTATGTTGTCTAGGTCAGTAATTAATGATACAGATATTGATAGTATTTGACTGTAGTATGTTGTCTAGGTCAGTAATTAATGATACAGATATTGATAGTATTTGACTGTAGTATGTTGTCTAGGTCAGTAATTAATGATACAGATATTGATAGTATTTGACTGTAGTATGTAGTAGAGTTTAGTAATGATACAGATCTTCATATTGAAATTACCCATTTTCTTTCAATAGGGTTCATCCTTGGGCGATGTTAAACATTTGGCAGAACCGCACCCATCACCAGTTGATTATGCTCAACCCTTAGCCAAACACTTCTTCCAGACGTCCTTTTTTTCGTTTTGTATACGGCTCTTCTCTAAGTGAAACAGAAAAGTAGGACGTTAAACTGCGTGAAAATTAATAATTCCGTCCCAATCTGCCACGAACTGTAAGAGTGCATTCAAGCTTGAAATAGAACGCTTTTCAAAAAACAACGAAAATAACTAATTACATATTTTTTAACACTTTTAATGGGGTTTCTAAATGGTTTTTATGAAATTTTATGTAAATTTATGTAAATTTATCAATTATTGTGCCTTTTACATTTACTAGCTAAAGAACAAGTTATATTGTTTGGGTGTTTTGAGATGAGTCTCAATGAAAGCACTGGCCTAGGTCACAGAGCAATATAGTCGTTCGGTTTCGTCCAAATCGTTAAGAATTCTGCCTCCTCGAGTATTTACAAGCTACAGACTGAACGCATTTCGAAAGACAATGCCTCATAACAATCAAAACATTGCAAATGTTATGATTTTTCATTCATAATAATCACTCATATGATAATATACTAATCAAGTAAGCAATTAGATGCTCAGTAGGATTAGACTTTGTTGTTTTCCTTGCACCAATAGTCCAAATGTAGAAACAGTGTCGACAAATCCTACGCATATCATCCGCCGCATTGAGTCTTCTTCGAGCTTTAGTTTTGATGACTAAAGTGTCGAGGTTCGCTTGGGTTCGTCGTGTTGAAGGGCACCAGAAATCGTGAAACTTTATAATTCTTCTCCTACAATAGTAAGTCGCACCTTACACCTCAGGGGATGAAAAGAAACCCACGCTGGGAACCAAGAATATACAGTATTATAGCTTGGAATTTAAAAATTCAATAAAAGTCTGTCAAAAGTATAGCTTTAAAATATATAAACGAATTGCTGACGCATTCCTTATGGTTCACATCATATAGCGATTGTAGAAATGTTCTGGTCTGTGAAATTTAGCGTCCAAAATGCCCGAAAACCACAGTCACCGATATTAAATATATGGCGGATATTTTCCTTCGCTATGGATATTAAAATGCTTATGTTAGTGTGCTAACAATGTGAAATATGCACAATATTTATATTTTTGAAACCTAAAAAGTGTGATTTTTTGAAATATTAAAAAAAATTGGATGAAATCCCCTAAATAAAAAAAACGTGGTAAAATTTAAATACCACGTTTTTTCTCCATAGACTAACATGGTGACATTGGCATAATTTAACAAGTTACCACGTCGTGGTATATAGCTTAAAGGCGTTTTCTAGATACATTCCTGTCGATGCATATCAAAAGTTTAGAAAACCTCTTTGCAAGAGATATATTATAAACCTAAGTTTTATTTAGTGGATCAGTTGATCGCGCTGATTTCAGGCGTACAACATTTATTTCATAAACATAACTAGGCGTCTGGATCGATTAAAATTGCAACTCTTCCTTCACCGATTAAAAATTACAGATAATCTGCTTTAAGCGTTGTTTTATCTGAGACTGTTTCCTTCATGGTACAGGAAAGTGTTATTTGTGCTAATTTGTTTAACTTTAAGAAACTGAAGAGGGAATATCACATTCTGTTGGGCACACGATTCTGTCGAAGCTATCCCTTTACAGATAAACAGATAAATTTCTCATAAACTATAGTTAAAGTAACACTCCCTACTTTTATTTCTCAAGTTGTTTATACACATTCTACTTGATATTATCTAAACAAAATACTCTCACTTTAAAATTAGTAGTTTATCTGATTTCTGGAAAACCGTTTTTATCTAAAATTTCAAGTTTTGATTAATCATTAGTTTACGTTAGAAGAAAACAGAAATATAGATGTATAAACTAGCCTATCATAAACTATCAGGAAATTTAGATTAAGGCTTGGAGCATCAATTTATGTCCTTATTTCTTTGTTGACTATGGGTCATAGTTCATGGACGATAGGTCATCCCAGATAGGCCTATTCAAAAAATCTGGTAGGTCCTATGATCTTCTAGTTCTTTTCTTTGCCCTACTAGACCCATTCGAGTCAAAAATGCATTGAATTTGAAAGGAAGGGAAAAACCCACTAGATCTGGCCCAAGCCTCTTTTCGCAATACTTTTACAGCTTAATATATTTTGATACTTATCGGCTGGAGTAGTCAGAAAAACCAGGTCCAATTTTGTGGATAATTTCCACGCCTCCTCAGATGCGTTTTAAATTTGTCTATCATAATATTAAATAACCTTTATGATGACTGTAGTACATTAATTAGTTTTGGGTATCATCTTAACTTTCACTTTGTTAATCATATGACTTTGTGAACTTTTGACTGCGCACACACCTTTAAATTGCAACCGAGAGATTAATTTCGTTTAAAAAAAAATATGATGTAGAGGGATTATGATGGTATGATTGAACTAGGCTACAAAAATATCAATCTTTCCGAATAAATTTGGTTTTGGATCCAATTTAAATAAATAGGTTTAAAATCCCCGCTTCTTTGGATCGATATTGGGAAAATTCTCCACAAAACAGGGCCTAGATTTTCTGTCTCTACACCAGTCGACAACTTTCAAAATAGCTATAAGAGTCTGCATGGAATAGAGGCAGATGATTCGGTCTAGCCTAAGCTCAACGTTGCTTCGAATTCTTTCAAATACTGGCTTCGTTTTTGCCTCATTATTTTCTGTGTAGTATACCTATTGTGCAGCAATGGCGGGTGTGGTTCAAGGCATAGCATGCTTAGGCCAACTCTACTGGACACATGATGCCACGTTTCATTATAGAATGCTTCCTCACTGTTGCGGGCATTTGTAAACATTTTTTCTTGTCATAATATTATAGCTTTTGTGATCAGTTCCCTCCCTTGAACTGTCAAAATTGGATTAAAATATTTTCATCAGTTAGGCTACCTCCCTTGAACTACTGAAATTCGTCAGTTCTATGGTTCTCTTTCTGCTTCTTTGGAGCAGGCTCCTCATTTAGTTATATATATAACTCTATGGTCATATAACTCTATGATCAGAGCCTATATAAACGAGCCATGTCACTGGATGTCGGCCATTTTGATAACTAGGACCGCAGCGCCTCTAGTGGTTGGATGCTATAAAATCAAATTCGAAAGAGAAAAAGGAATGAGAACGAGGAAAATGAGGAGCCTGCTCCAAAAAAGCAGAAAGAGAACAATTCTTCAGTTTATTGTTGATTGATGACTTTGTTGTCCCAACAATTGTGTCCAATGTTATCTCTTACATAGGAGGGTACCTACTAAAAAAAACTACCATGCAGTGACTGTAAACTCACTGTAGAAGCAGGCTCTTTGGTCACAGAAGCCCACATTTATTGTCATTTCAGGGCAACCAGCATGTTACATCTGCATTTGAATCTTAATGTGTGCCTTGTGATTCTTTGAGACAGGTGTTAGAAAGAAGTTATTTGTGGAAATGATTCCCAAGCTAATTTGCATTTCAGGTCTTTTAAAGTCATCGATGAGCCATGTTGAATCCATTCACTATTCCATTCATGAAAATCCTAGAGTATGTCTTATGCATCGAGCATCGTGACGTAGGCAGTATGTATGTTACATCAATGATTAAGCTCTACCTCAGGTGTCGAATACATTATTATTTCAAATTTGAAACTGGGAAATTTTTTCTTGGCACTGGTAAGAAAAACAGAAAGGCACAGGTGTTGATGAATCAATGAAGTGTAATTTTTATTAATTCACTTAATGTTTGCAATGTTTCTTAGTCTCAGCATTATGGCCAGTTGTCTGCTCCATAGCTACATTGATACTCAGTTGTCTGCTCAGCATCCTGACTATCAAATGTAGCTTTGGAAAATCCTGGTCATGTGCTGAAACTGCAATTGTATTTTTTCCTGTAATCAGAAATGGCATTTATGGCATCTGAAAATGTTTAGATGAAGGTTAACCAATAATTTTTCAGATCAGATGTATAATCTCTTACAGATGTGATACCCAATTACCATAAAATATTTCACTAATTTCCGCTTATATTGTCTCATTATCCTTATTAATCTAAACTCTTAATGTCAGAGGATGAGAAAACATCCTCCAAGCTAGTCTTGAGCATGGATAAATCCTACCTCCCCTTCCATAGAAAAATAAGAACATGCAATCAGAGTGACCAGGCTCGTTTATATAGGCTCTGAATTCTTTTGCCATCTGTGGTTATTCAGCATGTTGAGCAAAAATGACTAGTGTGGCGCCTGGCAGGGCATGTTTACTCTTCTAGACACCTAATATGGCTTACCACTTTTCATTATGATATATTTAATACTCACTTGTATGATTAATATAGGCTACGTCTTCATTCGTGAAAAGTTCATTTGCTTCCAATCCTATGCTTCGCCTCATAAGGCCCTATGTTAGTTTGGATTTCGGGTTTTGTTATCGGTTCGGATCGTTTACCGGAACTATGCCAATATTACCACGCGATCAAGGAATTCTGGTAAATTAAATATCCAGAGGCTGGTCATTCAGGACTACGAGTATTTCTTAACAAAACGTTCGAGGATGGATCCAAAATGATGATAAAACGTCTCATTGGTAAACCGATAGTCACGATAAAGTATCAATTAAATGCATATAGGCTAATTTTGTGTCAGATGTGAAATGCCGGAAGTAAAGAATCAGCTTCATTCGGCAAGCCTATATCAAAACCTAAAATCATCCCTTTTAAAATATACATGTCCTCTATGGAACTCGAATTACCGTTAAGCTAAGCTTCCATATATACGCGTCATGCGGATGCGTCATGCGGACATAAATGGCCCTTGCGGAACCGTCATGCGTCAAATATGATTCCATATGTGCATTAAACGTATGCGTTATATTTCTTTTGACGCATGGACAGATGGGACCTTTGGTGCATAAAAAAAAAGACAGGGAATCCCCTCAAAATATGTCACATTTGGGAGATCTCCGCGCGGAAAAGCGCCCCTATCCGTCAAAAATCGCTTTACCCGGCGATTTTTTTTTGACGCATGACGGAGACCATTTGACGGATACCGCTTCCGCATATATGGAATCATACTCTCTTAAACCAACCATTTCGATTTTTAACGCATGACGGATGACGCATGACGGATCCGCATGACGCGTAGGCCTATATGGAATCTTAGCTTTAGCTTTTCTACCAACATAAGAACCTTTAGAAAAAAAAAAGTATCCAAATTTAAACACAGCCATTAACAAATATTATATGAAATATTCAATGTAATTATTCATACAATCTTTTTAACTTCAAATCCCACTCGTTTATGCCTTTAGTCGGCACAGCTTTCTCTAGTTCTACTTTTGGCAAAATTGAAAAGAGGCCTTTGGGCCCAATTTTTCACCCTTGTCATTAAATATAAGTATCATTATTATTATTATTATCCTAGGCAGTTTCCGTAAAGTTGTGTTGCAGAGCAACTTTCAGTTCCACGGAGGCCGTTACTTTGTGTTTCAGATTTATGGAAACTATCGAGGATATCCGAATGAGAAATCCGAACGCGTCATGACGTCATGACGTTAGATTAATGTCGTTGCTACGGATGACGTTCGACCGGAAGAAGCATGGATTGGAACCCGGATGCTTGATGTCAATAAAAATGGAAAAAAGCATAGTTTGGATTCTTTTATTATTACAACTCTTAGCTGCCTTTAGGTATGTCACTATTAAACTATTTGCTAGTAAGGATACCTCTGGAATGGCTCTGGAAAAAACATCACCTCTCATCAAGAAGAGAGTTGACAGGAAGACTGAACAATAAGAACAAGTCTAAATCTGATTGTGTGATTTCTCTACGACTTCAGCAGTCTTGCTAGCAAGCATAGGCCTCGCGCACCTAGACTCTAGACCTACTTAACTTGATATTTTCACCAAGCTGCCGCAGTCCTTGCAAAATTACCGTCATTGCACTCTGCATGGCGCTGTCCGTCTTCATTAACCGACATGGTGCAGAAAAGTAGGACTTAGAACTCATTCATTTCATTTCATTTATCACCGAGCTAAGTTAGGCCGACCGTAAGGCTACTACTACCCATAACAGGCCACTAAGAGTTTAACTTAAGTCACGGGATAGAGTTATGGCAGCCGTAGAGTAACCTTAAATGAGTTTTCATAATTTCATTTACTACAGACTGCACGGATATCTTCTACCGGTACCTTCACCTAAACCTGTCTAGAAGTTGAATTGTAAGATATTGTAAATATCTCATATTTTCAGTGTTTCGGCAGAATACGATCCTAAATGTGAAGAAGTCGAAGAATTTAAAGATCGTTATTTTGGTGATTTAGAAGTAGATCAAGATTTACACGATAATAATAAGCTATTATCCATCAATATTCAATTCAACCACCCTAGCTACGTTAAAAGTTGGACTGTGAAAGGTAGAGATGGTCCTAATGAAGGACCAATTCATAATCGAAGTGGACTAATATTAAAATATACTGTGGAGTATGGGAACCAAGAAGGAGACTGGGTTCCAGTAGGACCAAGTGAAAATAACCACGTGAGTCTAAAATATGAAACATTTCAGTAAATGTTCACACTAATAAACACGCGAATAAACGGAGTCTCCAGATTCTGCACATAGTTTATGTTCTTATATTCCTCGCGTGTGCTTCATTGTCCGCTCTCTCATTTATGAGACTCCGCAGATTTTGTCTACAAGCTTAAATTTTAACATTGGCTGCTCAAAAGGCACTATAGTGATGGATTCTTGAGTCACACCACTGTAACAATTCATAGAAAACTTTGTACAAATAACGATACTGATACTAGGAGAAGTTATTGTTTCAAATCTTAGGGAATTGCTAAATATTCCTATTTTCTTTTTCAGGAATTTATGAACGATGGTAACTTGGCTAAACCAAATTTTGAAACGAAAGTGTCCTTTGAAGAACCTATCAAGACTAAAGCATTAAGATTCTTCCCACAGTTATGGGATGGGGCCCCATATATGGCTGTAAATGTTATATATTGTGTAGATGAAAACGATCACTCACAATGGAAAGAGATGCAGATCAATACAAATTTAATCCTAGAAGCACTGAAGAAAGTGGACCGGAATAAGAAAAAAGCCAAGGTAAAAGCGGCAAATATAAAGGCTGGAGAGGACCTGGAGAATGAGAGTGAAGAAGAAAATGCACAAAATCATTATACTGAAGAGAATGCAGATGAAGCAGACGTAAATGAAGCAAATGAAGATTATGTTGAAGAATATGTTGAAGAAGATGCCGAAGAAGATACTGAAGAAGACGAGGAAGATGATGATGAAGAAGAGGATATTGAGGTAGAAGGTGAGACCGGTATCTGCTTTGAACTGACCAGTTTGACTGAGTGACAATTGTAGTTTAACGTTGGAAATAAATAAATTTATGTCGCTAACTTAATTTTCAGACAATCGAAGATGTCAGACGAGCGTTGTGTGGAGATATAACGGAGAGAGGGAAATCGCAGATAGGTTCAGCTCCTCTTCTGGTAGTTCGACAGCTTACAGACTTACACTCGCAAATCTAGAGAATCCTTTTCTCTTTCTGGCACATGACAAACGAGAATACGCTCAGGTATGTTGGTGTCGTATTTGCTCATATTTATTAAGCTTTACACACAGTGATGGTATTCCATTGACCAAGTTGTTGCCCACCCCGTGAAGGAGAAGTCGCATCAGGTGCCAGACCGACTTTGTGTACCATTCCGATCTCTACAGACGCGGGATAATACGGAATGTTTACTCACAACAAATATAAGGATCATGCCAAATGACCTCATGTCCAAACCACACCTCATTCCCCCAAAACCCGTATTTGGAATACGATGACCAAATAATCGATTCTGCTGCTGATACCATTGGCAATTTAAATCAGTTAACCTATTTGATTACATCGATTCCAGAATCAGAATCAAAAAAATAGACTATTTCGTGAACTGAGATAAGGTTTTACTATTTTTTTTTTTAAATAGTTGTGTTTTAGTTCATATCTCTTTATCCTTTTATCATTAACATGCGTTAGTTTGTTTCTTTGTAGGTTAAGTTTGCCGCACCCTCCCGTGTAATGATGCTAAGAACAGTTGGTAAAAGTGACTCTGGAGATTGGGGACTTGTCACTCAATTCTCTCTATTTTATCGGAATGATATTGATGAGAAGTGGAGATATTATACAGATACAGATGGCAACAGGCGGGTAAGTTGACCTATCTTGATATATCATCGGTGAATTACCACTTCGTGGTCGTGACTAGCTGTCAATCGGTCAACGGTATCGGTATACAATATCAGCACGAAGTTAGCCGAAGATGATTTATTTGTTATTGTCAAACCCTTCAACTGAGTTACTTAAGTTATGATGAGATGTTTATAGACATCCAGAAGATAGAATAAAACACATTGATACAATTTACCATCAGAAGAGTGACTGGCAACGAAAAACAGATCATGTCTAGATGGTTAACGCTACCAAATCACGTCGACACCTATTAAACACATACAGTGATATAGCGATCTTTTGTTACAGTTGTTTGATACCAAAGTCAGAGACAAAATATCTGCAATGGTACCAGAGGAGTTCAGACTACCAAGGCCAATAGTTGCCAAAATAATTCGTCTGTATCCACATAAATGGTCTGGTAAACCATATCTGTCACTCGACGTAAAGGCCTGTTATCTGAGTGACCCTTATCCAGGTTAGTATTTAATAAAGCATATGGCAGGCAATCGATTTGTTAATCTGATGTTGCTGCTATTCACCTATGAATTCTCAAAATACGGAGACCATAGAATGAACCGGGATATCATGGTTTTCTGAGTAATTGACAATGTTATCAAACAATCTGTTTTTTTTTTCATAGAATTCAAATACTGTTCTGACAGTCTACTGTCTCAAGATGATTCACTTCTGTTGATTAGTTTTGACAATCTAGAACGTATGGGCGAATTGGCCAACTATCAGAAGTACAGGACACTCGAATTGGAGGGTATTGAAGACGAGTCTTTGGTGACTGGTGTGAAGGTCCGCATAATGACTGATGACGCATCTCGTGATTTTGTTAAGAGCTTTGCCATGCAGTATTTTAATGAAGAGGATGAATGGAAGAATGTTGTGGATGACGATGGAATTATTAAGGTGAGTATAAGTCTGCTATTAAACCATGATTATACATGTATAGGTTACAGGTGATGCGCAGGAAAATATATTGCTTATTTGCAGTTCTGTATAAAAATATCTAAAAAAAACACGATCGCATTATGGCACGTCTAACCGAACAACGTGAACATGCTATCGGACGATTAAATGCCGGACAACGTACCAAAATCGTTTCCAATGCCTTTAAATGTAGTGTACGAGCCATGGAAAGACACGGGATTAGTTGCAACACTACTAACAGCATCAATGACCGTTCACTCAGTGGTTGTCCTCGAGTCTCAACTACAACACCAAGACAAGATCGCTTCATCCTACGGCAGCATCTGATTGCGGATTTAACACAGCGACATAGACACCAGGCCAATGGCCACCATCGTCTTGTGCTCAATCATCATCATCGTCAACAATGTCTTGTGTGAGCCACCCAACGACATCAGCAGCAAAGGACCCACGTGTTCTCTCAATCTGTGAGGAGCACGTGATCAGACCCTCTAAATGACATTGGAATAACATGAAAGACACTCAATCTGTTGTGTCAAAGGTGGTTGTTTTCTTAACATTTGCTTTTGAATTGACGACACTTGGATAAATAGTTCACTATTTTCTGTACTTTGTGACTTTTCAGTATAGTTGAAAGCGGTTAAACATGATCAAAATTCGTTACATTTATTTAATGGGTATCCTAGAATAAAAGTGATTATGTATTTTATGTAGCCTACCCGTACAAACTTTGTAATGGTTGTTCCGATACTTTACTGTCATCTACAGAAACTAAGAAGTAAAAACACTGCAATGAATTTCTAAATTATTTTACAGATATTTCATGCTTACGCTGAAGAATCAGAAGAATCAGAAGATACTGCTATCCTGAAATTTTCTGACCCTGTAGAGACAGGATTTCTAAGAGTTTATCCAGAATCTTGGACTGGTTCGAAACCTGTTCTGTTTATTGACGTTTTAGGCTGTACAGACTTTTAGTTACAACAGTTTTAACAACTATCTGTGATAACTTCTTAATTATTTTATCTGCAATTTGGTTCTTTTTTAAATGTATGCATGTTGAAATGCATGTTCAACCTGATGAAACTGCCTTTCTATGGAATTATTTACACTCTTCTTTTCTGCACTTGAATACCATAATACTTAATATAATAAAATTACAATAAATATTTTCTATTACATTTTTCATTTTCACTTTTTTTATTGGACAATTACTGATAAATTATGAAAAAATAAAAATGTAAAAATTGAGGTGTTATGATTGAGTGCTTTATATTATCCACTGCAAATGACAATGTAGTTAAATTACTACAGGACCAAGTTGAACAATCTGATCCAAATAATCAAGAAATATTTTGAGAGAGTAGAAGATGAATAAAATCAAACAAGCATCATACAATAACAATTTATTAAACAAATAAGATTATTAACGAACTACAATAATTTTTACTTTTAGTAAAAAAAAAAAAACCTCGTAATTTGTAGGTTTGAAACCTTAACATTCCCTTAAAGCTGGATTATATGAATTAAGCCACACTTACATTTATGATTAATTTAATGAAAGCTTTGCAACCAAATATACAACATACATTTTGTCTATAAAGTCTCGTTAGGAAGTGATCTAAATCTAAATAACCAAAATTTCCATAGATAATTGAGTTATTCTTCACATGTAATAGTAAGATGGAACATATATACCTACAACTTATTGCAAATGTCTCCATCCTTTACCTTTTCATAAAACATTCAGCCATAGAAAACTTCTACTTATAATGCCACATAGATATAAGAGAAAAATTTATAAAAATTAAAATAATTTAAGACTAGTACATACTATATAAGAAATTTTGTCACAATACTTAAACTTGATAGAAATGTGTAAACATGTACTCTGTTTATTGGGACTAAAAATATGTTGGATTACTGAGAGTGTAGTTAGTCATGAACATTAATGCATCTAGGGAAGATCTTAACATAAACTGGTTCAGCCTATCAAACTAGTATGTTTATGTTTTGAACCATCCCTGGTTATTTAATAATAATATATGTCACAGAATAATATAGATTTAACTGAATTTGTTCTAAAGATATTATATATGTAATTCATCTTATGTAATAACTGTAGGTTCTTGTCGTCCTGTAAGTTCTCTTAGTTGAGAAATCTGTAATGCTATGTTAATCAAAGGCTTTAACACAACCTAAAATGAAAAAAACTTTTTTCAGACAAACATTTAAAGAGGAATAATGCAGAATTGTTATTATCAAAAATTACATAAATTATATCTGAAAATATTTTTAAAATATGCTTTTTACATCTATGTATCTACCTGATCAAACTTAATTTTAAAACGGAGTGTACTAATTGTTAATCAAGCAGCTTAATCGATTTTGAGTGTTTGGCCTCAAAAATATAATATATTTTTAATTTGGTTGAAACATTTACAATATGTAGGAGAGCGACTTCTCTACAATAAGGCATTTATTTTGCATACTGCACACTAGCTTCTAACGCCTCCCAAAAAGAATAACAAACATAAAAAGTTTGCCGAAACCCTTAAAATAGTCTTAGCCTTAAAAAATTTACACAAATTTTACTTAAAACTTTCAGTGAAGTCCAAAATGACAAAAAAGGTGAAAACAATTGATGCATCACCTATGAAGAGAGAAAGATATATGAAGGTAAATGTAGGAATATACCTGTGCATCAAGTTGATGCTGGGCTATATCTGCTTCGTAACCTTCTATATATAGACGTATAGTAGCACCACTACTTCCAGTTCCACTCAGTCGGAAAATAATTCTTGAATCATCTGTAAATATAATTCTTACTCCCTACAAAATATACAAATTACTGAAAAATAACTTTGTTTCTCATGTTCCAAACTTAAATGATGAAAAATGATCCACAGAATTTACTCCATCCATTTAATATGGCTGTCTTACATCAACCAAAACCCAGTTTTCACTTTTTTATTGATTTTAAAGCCAGGTCAATAACTCTGCCTCTCAAAAATTTTGAAATCAAACACAACCATAAAATTCTATGAACATTTATAGTTTACATATTGATTTTTGGTGTATTTACAAATGAGACCAACCTGATTTTTACTGACACTTTTATCAATAGGATCAGTATAACAGAAATTGTCTGCCTGAGCTACAGTATAAGATTTTCCATCATGACTGTATTCTTTGTTAATAATAGTTGGTGAACTTATCAAGTTATTTAAATTCTCCATCATTGTATTGGCTGGACCAGATTCACAATTCTCATAATCATATCTAAAATGTAGAAATAAATTAGATAGTAGTAGATGAAGACCGACCCGAGCTGACTCTTGCTATAAATTTTAGTTACCTTGAGGTAACCTCGTATATCATATATTGTCGTCACCCCTGTCTGTACGATTTTTTGATGAACAGTTTTGAGTTTCTGCCCTTGACTTAAGAAAAACTCTACAAAATTTGTTTGTGAATACAATAGAGACTACAGTTTTCATCTGATTTTAATGAAATTTGGTGTAATTAAACATGTAATATCGATGTCTTACACAAAGATAGACAATTTTGCAGATTATTCTCAAAGCCAAAGTCTCATATGTGGGGATAGAGTCAACTTATTAATACAATGCAATCATGAATAATAGTTTGGTGAAGACATTTTGATCAAATATTTTCCATTATTCACAAACACCAACCTGGTAAAGAAATTTCTACCATATTGAGTCCAATGATCTGTAATTAATTCTTTCACTGATTTCTTAGTATGAGCTAAAATCTGCAACCATGCCAGCACTGCCCATAAGCCATCTTTTTCTCTAAAAATATAGAAAATAATGTACTAAGTATTGAACTAAATTATTTACTACTCACATCACTATAATTAATAAATTTTTTCAATTGACTTTAAGCAGAATATAAACCATGCTGCAAAGCTAACAGATGGGTTTGGAGCAATATGGAATTCATTAATTCAACTTTACAAATGGTCTTCATAAAAAAAGCATTGAATGAATAAGTGAGAGTCTAATTATCCTCCAATGGCTCTAAAGTTACAAATTTTAACTATGTTACAATGTGACAACGGGCAATGCAAAGAGTCTTGTCCCAAAACAACTCAAGGAATAATTTCATTCATATCCAAGTATATTCAGCATTACAAACTACCAAGAGTTTCCAAATGCCAAATTGAATCTGTTAATATTCATAATTTAACAAAATGTCTGTTCACAACCCAATAGATAGTCTTAACTACTGGTACCTAGTATTTCTCCTCACCTTATATGATCAGATCCAGTACCAAAACTTTCTTCACCACAAAGAGACAATCTACCAGCATCCATTAAATTCCCAAAAAATTTCCAGCCTGTAGGTACTTCAAACATTTCTTTACCTTTTACTTTAGCTACTCTACAGGAGCGGAAAGAACCTTCAGTAGATTAGTCTATTATTATAGTGAATTGTATAGAATAAAGTGGAAGTGAGAAAATATAGGCAGCAAAGACGGAGAAAAAAATTTGCCTATAATAAACCATGCTTCAGTTTTCAGTCTTTTTCCACAAAGTGGGCCTTTCCTATGACAGATTGATTTAAAAACTTGGTTACAGAGTACTTTCAATCGAGTCCATAGTTACTTATATAATCAAATTTGGATCTCTGTAATTTCTGTTTGTCTGAGAGCGATTTCAGCTGTCCTGAAAGGTTAAGGGCTCTATCTGATCACATTGAACAAAAAGAAAGGAAATCATTACCTATCTACAGCACCAGCAGTGGGCATGCTCCTAGCATAGCCTTTGACCCCAGTATTTTGAAAGTATGGTATACACTCTAGGTTATTGGCTAATACTGCCAGTGAATCTGATGGTGTCACAAAGAAGGCATTCTCTCCTAATATCATGTTTCTATCCTAAATATATAGCACCGAATAAACTGCAGAATATAGTTGATGAAAAGGTTGAGAGTAAACATAGGACATTACTTCAATAACCATGGCATTGAAAACATTATCATAAACTGGGGGATTTGTTTTTTATATATCTGATAAGGTAAATGAAAGTTTCATTCATCATTTAATTATTATGTTGACTGCAATCAGACGTAAACATGCTTTGTAAACTATTTCTTAGTGACATTAATAGTAGCAAATTTCAAAAAATCTTACGCCATCTCCATCAAAAGCAGCACCAAATCCATGTTGACCTTTCTTTAACTCATTGACAAGGTCAGCTGCATAAGTCAAATTAGGGTCAGGATGGTGACCTCCAAAATCTTCTAATGGAACACAGTTTACTGTATTAGATTCACGGGCACCTAACTCCCCACAGACTATTTTCTTGACATAAGGTCCCATAACTATAATGATAAAATTTAAGAAATGTAGTCTTGTTTTTCTATAAAAGTAACAGTAACTGTCCCATCCTAGTGGACAGAATATAAGATAATGACTAATAATAATAAGGACTTTTGCTACATCTGTTCCTGACACATATAGCCCATATAGCATTCAGATGTGGTACATGTATGTCTAAATTAATTGACAAAAAAAAAGATATTGGGCACATTGGAAATGATTGAATATTGTCATGGAGCAAGTTATTTGAGGCTCAGCTCAATGTTGCTCTCAACAAATATGTACATGATGGATTGCCTTATTTTCAAAGATATATCAAGAGTAAAAACACAACTAAATTATCTTTACCTCCATGCATTGAATTCAGGAGAATATTTAAAGGTGGCTGTCCATTACTTCCACCGATTAAATTTTTTATAGAATTAAAATCAAATATTTCTTTCATATATTGACAATAGTCATCAACAGAATCTATTATTTCTACTGTAAATTGTCTCCCTTCTATATTATAGTTAGTTGCTCCTTTCTTAGATAGATCGATCTGAAGGTTTCGACATATCTTATATTCAGAAATTGATTTTGTTGCTTCGAATATTCCATTAGTAACAGCTTCTGGGGCTGGACCTATAATATGAAAATATAAATTATTACCGAGATCTATTTAGTTTAAGTCTAAATAGACCGATTTTTTCTAATTACTTGGCATTTATCAGTTTCTGTTTTACGTACATTTTTTCATGATATATTACTAGAAATACCTCCATTGGCTGTGTTGAATTTAATACCAAAGTCTCCGTCTGGTCCACCAGGATTGTGAGAAGCTGTGAGAATTATACCTCCATTTGTCTGATATTTACGGATGCAGCATGATAAAGCCGGAGTAGACATCAAACCATTTTCAGCTATCAGTAATTTGGATAGCTGGAATATAAATGTAATATATGCCAATTTCATTTAATAGGACTGAAGCCAATGGACAAATCTGTGATGCAGTAGAAAAAATACTTGTGGGTTGTACAAATATGGCAAGAAATGTGAGGGTGATTTGGGGGATCAATTCCCAATTTGCCGAATGTATCAATTGCTACCTGTCCTTCAATTATGTATAATATGACCATCACATGTATAGTCATGAGCCAAAATCATGTATTTTAACCAGCATACTTGACATTGAAACAAGGAGACTGCACCTACCCCATTTGCAGCACACATTTTAACAATGAGTTCAGTAGCTTCTTTACCATAATACCTTCCATCTCCTCCAACTACCAAGCAACTGCCTTGAATTTTGTCACCTAACCCGGCGGTTAAAGTGGCTTGGATAAAATTCTCTGTGTAGTTTTCCTTGCTTTGGTAAACTTTCACACCTTTCCTCAATCCACTTGTTCCTGGCTTTTGGTCATCGTAAGGTTTAGTGGCAATCTTTTCTACCGCTAGCGCCATTTCCCAACACTTTTCTACAAACAAACTAAGGTACAAAGGAAACACCCTACCAAAATTACCAAAAAGTACCAAAATTAGACAGTACATGAAAGTGGATATGTGCAATGTGGTGACCTTCACATCAGCCTTGAATCTGAACAGTCAAGGTCATTGTTGTCAAAATTCAACGGGCTGAGCTTTTACGATTTCATGGTTATGATTAGGTGCTGGTAGAAGAGGAAACTGGAGAAATGAAAATTTTTACACATTTTTGTTTACATTGTCTGATACAATATCATTCTATCAACTTGGTCACTTGGTATGGTGAAAAGAGATAATGAAAATGAAAGTAGAGTGAACCTTGAACTTAGACAATTTGTATCTTTTTGTCACAAGAGTTCTACAATTTAGATTTTCCAGTCAGTCAGGTTTTTTCCGTTACATTGCAACGTCAGCTAAGGACTGGTTGTGAAGGACTCCTCAGTAGGTGTTCACAAGTGCGTTTCACTTTCAAAATGGAGCGACAATAGACAACTAGTTGCGATAATTCCAGCGGAACATTCCATAGATTCATTTGAAATCCTTATCAAATCTTAGAATTCAGGATGGGAGCTGGAAAGAGCAAGGATCAAGATTCACTGGAGACGGAAAAACTTCTTGGAGATCAAAGGTTTATTATCTTATTTTGTAAACTTTCACTTTAGCATTTTGAATTCATATCCCAGCCAGGTCAGTTGAATATTAGTCATTTATAGTAGCCTGTAGAAGGTGTTTTCATGGAATTGCATCAAATTGGAGACTTGTTCTCAAAAGGATGTGAGCTTGGATTGATCCCAGGAATTTATGGATTATAATTTTATTATAAAGACATCCTAACTTTAATGAATCTTTACAGGAATCCTGACTGAATAATCTTATCCTGTATATTCCAATTGTTGTTAAAATGTGAAATAAACAATCATATATTTATTGTTGCTTCTGACACAGTAGAATATATTTTCAATAGAACTATTTATTTTAAAGCTTTTGTTTTTCACAGTTTTCATTTTGACTTTCATTTTCTGACATTATAATGTACCAGAGAATAGGATAGGATAAGTTCTTAACTTCTAAGACTGTTTTCTAGGACGTAATAGTTAGAATTAAGATCATTTTGAGAATAAGGTACTAGATTGTTACCAGCCAACTGGTCATAGTTTGATTTGTAATAGGATTTCTCATGGTGCTCATTATTTTCTTTGTGTTATTTACAGCTATACAAGTTCTAGAAGATCATCAATATCAGAATTATCAAACCCAAATGAAAGGGTCATCAGGTAATGCTGTCATATTTCTATTAGGCCTACTGAGAGGAAACTTTCATTGGGTTAGGAAAATAGACTGAGATGAAAGTTTGCTTGTGATTTAATGAAGCAAACAATTTAATTGATATCTGAATATATTACCATTATGAAATTTCTTCACTGAATAATCATTTAAAACTATCAGAACAATTTTAAAGCTGATATATCAATTGACATAAAAATATCAGTAATATTTGATTTAACTACAAAAGTAAGTTGACAGAAGTATATTACACAGAATTGTAAACAAGTTGATCAAACTTATGTAAAGTATTAAGAATCATGTTGACTTAATAAACTCTTAACTTGACCTAGTCACCATCTGTAAACTGTTATATAACAATAGATTAAGTGCAATTGGTCTGATAACTAACAGGAATTTAGCTTCTGGAATTATTATCATTTCACTTGAGGTACCTATGCAAGGAATTTGAATTGTGTGATGACCAGGACTGTTTTGGAAGTTAAAAGTATTTGAAAGATGCAAAATATGTTTTGAACATAATTTGTCTATTCATCTTTTCTAGATCGGATTGCAAACATAAGCAGTTCTGTTTATTTTTAGGTAGGATAAAAAGAACCTATACAGTCTAAACTTACATTGTGTTGAAAATAAATACACTACTAAAGAATAAAATGGACTGCTTGTGTTTATCTTCATAATTGGGGCCTAATGAGCATAAATATGTTTACTGGACAATACCATCAGCTTCAAACATATCTTTTATTTTCAGACAACCTATACAATATCATTCAATAAACAATGGTGGATCAGAAAGTTACGATTCACAAACAAGAGCTTCAGTACATAGATATAGGTATTATAACAGACTAGCACCTCATAGTAACAGTATACTGGTAAGTTTGAATTATGAGGGGTGTCCCTGAATAATGAGCCTCACTATATTAATCTTGAAAATATGAAACTTTTAGCAATTATTTCTCAACATATCCTTAATGACTTCAGCACATTTGGTCCAACATTTTTCCAACATGCACAATCCAAAATGAATAGTCACTTGAATCCTTAATAGCGGCAATGATATCAAGAGCTGAGTCAGGGCACAGATAGAAGTCTGGTGGAGCTGAACCATTGCTACTTTCAATTGTGTATATTTTGATTATTGACAGGAGGAGGATATTTATTAAAAAGGTATATCTGACAATCCATGTGCGGACAGACATGAATTTCATGCATTTTTCATGTGCATATTCATCAAGTGCAGTATTTCCAGCTTGGTTTCATTCATTCAAACTATTTAATTGTCAAGATTATGGGACACCTCTCATACTTTCTTATCGTCTACAATAGCTTTATCATTTACCATATTTACTAGTTGTATCAGATGACAGCTTCAAATTTTGACAAATGCATCTTGGTAGAAGTATTATTTTTAATGACCTTGACCATGGATATTTATATGGTGAAACGTTTGCTCTATTTCCAGCATATGCCAAACCATGTTGTTCCAGCAAATTATTTAATCCGAATATTTTCTCCTGTTGCTGGTAAACAGAGCAGTATTATCACAATGTAAGTTTGGGTATTTTATGTTTCAGACAAGAGAAGGTTTTATTCTCCCAAATGTATAGGCCTTGAAAACTTTCTTTTTAAATATACTTTCAGATTATTAGCTTTTCATCCTGTCACTGATGTAGATTGGAAGGGCTGATATGACAAAAACTTATAATCATTCAGATGGGACAATAAACTGATGCCTTGTGTACGAACTTTGCATCTTAAAGATCCCCTGCCAGTTGAAAATCGAAAAAGAGTTGGTAGATATTGCTGTCCTGCCAAATTTCATTTCATACGGTCTGTCTTGATTACCTACCCAGATGCAGAAAGTATGGCTCAAAACAACCTTTCTTTTTCAGATTTTCACTATGGAACACTATGATGGGAACATCTTTATTAAGTATGCCATGGGCCATCAAACAGGTAATTTTTTTGGGGGTAGTTTTAATCTCTAGATCTAAAACGAAATAACAAACACAAGGTCAAAATAACTCCATCCTTAGGACTTTTAAATACAATGATATGCACGGTGAAGTTGAACTGAATATCGTCTTCAGAGAAATAGAGTTGATATGTTGATATTGATAAGGAGCATTCATTGCTGAAGCTGAATGGTCAGAGGGAATTATGTATGTTTGTGAAAATGGATATTATTCATTTGATATTTTGAAAATATTAAAGAAACTAAGTATAAGTTCCAATTATTGTTTATACTTATATTATGTAATTGTGATTTGTTTTCTAGGCAGGTTTTATTACTGGGATAGGGTTATTAATATTTGTTGCTGGTCTAATGTTATATACAAGTTATAGAATACTTAGAGCTGTAGAGGTGCTAAGTAAGTATCAGCACGTTTCTAGTTCTGTCCACATTTTTCATCATCTATTAAGACTCTCATCAAGCCTGTGGTATCTATTTGTTACAGTTGATAGGTGTTAGATTAGCTCTTATCAATTAGAGTCTACATCTTATTTAATGAAATTTTTATCACTCTTCAAGAGGTTTCATTGGTTTTAAGTGTTTGAAATTCTACAATTGTTGTACCCTTCCATATCAGTGTTTTTTTAATTCCTTTCTATGACTCTTTTGCAGGAGCAGAAAATGTTGATGTATTAGAATTTTCCGATGTTTGTAAATTTTATTTTGGTAAAGTAGGGGAGATTACTGCTCTAGTCTGTTCACTCATGTCTCTAATTGGTGGAATGATAGTCTACTGGATTTTAATGTCCAATTTTATTTATCATGTTGTTTCGTTTATTTATTGTAAGTATGTCAATGTATTATTTGGAGTTTGTGATTGAAATGATGAAAAACTAGATAACAAGAAATCAGAATGTTCAAAAATAGTTATTGTGTTTATTTTACAAAGATACAACTCAACTTGTCAATGAATAAATATCTGTATTTTAGATCATGCTGATGGGTCGTTTAATTCATCAACTATAGAGAACAAATCAGCTTATTCTGATGGTGAGTCGGGCATAAATATTTATTTTAGTGAAGTATGTTGCTAGCTTACCAAAAGATCTGAGCCCAGGTTAAGGTGTAGTACATTTAGATTCAACTGAGTGGATGGTTAAACGTCTAGTAGTGTCTTTGAGAAATAATTCAAAGACCTCTATGCTGCAATCTGTGAATACTTATTTTATTGACACTGCACTACACAACCTGCTTCATTAGCCTTATAAGATGTTGAAATTGATTATGTTATGTTTAATACTTATTCATGTGTTATTTCAGCTATGTGTCCAAAAGCCAACCCATTACCAGACAATAACACAAACACATACCCTGATTTACTGTCAGTATTGGGTAATTTTCCTATAGCCAATCCAGTATTTGAAGAAGTATGGAGTGAAACTAAGACTGTACCTTTCTTTCTACTCCTAGTCTTAGCTCCTATTATCAATTTTAAATCACCAACTTTTTTCACTAAATTTAATGCTCTTGGTAAGTATGGATATTATAAAGATTTTCTCTGACATTCAACATTGCTAAATTAGAACCTTCAAATATATCATTGATTACATAGTCTGAATAGCATCTGACATTATTAAAACTGTACCCTCCATTTAATCAGCAACTGTAAGGTAGGACACAAGTATATTCTCATCACTATCTAATACAAAGTTAAATATACCATTGCAATTCAACATGTTTGATTCCAACCTCTATAATGTGTTGTGTTTGTAATCTCAATGGATAGTTGTCTGCTGAGGTGATATTCCATCCCAGTACATAAGAACACAAAAATAATTTGACTGATGAGTAAGAAATTTAATTGTCAGAAGGTCACTCACATTGTTAACATCTTGTGTGTGTAATAATAGATAGAATATTACTGATTTTGATGTATCATGCTTTATATCAGGAACATGCTCTGTTGCCTATTTGTTTGTGTTTGCTGCAGTAAAAGCTGCTAAATGGGGAATTCATATTGATTTTAGTTCAGCTGATCAACATCTTCCTGATTATACTTCAAGTAAGTTCTGCATACTGATATAGTTTGTTGAAACCTTGGCCTCATTTTCTGAAAAGTATGCACAAGTAAGGTTCAGAAAGACAGGATTTAAAACTCAATTCTTTTTATTTATGATTTATTTATATTTTATTTACTATTTTATCTAACATGTGAAATGTCATTTTTAATATCATTCTTAATTTGCAGCATGTTTATTTCAACTAATTACAATCATTACCAGCTTGAATTATTATACTAATCATTTATTATTTAGATTTTGATTGGTCATTTCCCGCTTTAACAGGAGTTGCTGCCCTTGCATATTTTATTCAAAACAGCATGACATCAATTACACGTAATCAAAAACACCCTGAAAATAATGTAAGTCAGAGCCTCAGTGTCATCACACCACTTGATCACACTTTCACTCCTTCCTTCAAATCATCACATCAATGCAATACTGAACTTCACCAAACCTAATTAGCAAGTGCACATACTCCAAAATCCCAATTAGTGCCACCTTCCTATGTTTTATATTTCTTGTAGATTTTGGATGGACGTTTCCAGCTTTAACTGGTATTGCATCATTGGCATATTTTATACACAATGCTGTACTGTCCATAACAGCTAATGAAAGAAATCCCAAAAATAGTGTAAGTATTTTAATTCTTTTTTTTAAAAGAAGTAATTTATTTGTGATCTATAAGATCTATAATGCAGTGTTGACTTCTCAATAACTTAGTTATTCAGTACATTGGGTTTGAATCCTTGCAAAGAAGATGAATGATTAGGTAGAGTTTGGAAAGTCAACTAGGGGTGCCAATATATTTATGTATTATAAGTTTTATTCAGTAAGTTATATGTGATATAATCAAAACCTCCACCAAACCATTGTTCATCCTAGCACATCCTTCAAGAATAGCACTGTTGAGATTTGTGAAATGGAGGAAAATTGTACACACCAATTTTCCCAACTTTTACGACCTTCACCTTGACCCAGTGTTAAAAAAGTAGGAACTTCAAGTATGGATATGTAAAAATCAAATTATTTGCCATTGATAAAGAGCTTGGAATTGAAATATGAAATATATTGACCCGGCTAACATTACCTTGTCGTCCATCTTAGTAATAAAGTTGTGAATAATGCCCATAGTGTCTTCATTTATTAACACAAGTTTTGGAATTGCGAGCAAGTCATAAATACAACTTTCACAGCAGGTATTGAACACAACATTATTTTAATATTTTACTGGGAAGAGTAGGTTGGTGGTTTAGTAAGGAAATTTGTTGAATCTCAACTATATGTTATAATAGCTAATTACGAATTTATTATCAATTTTATGAACAGTTCAGCTTTATAGAATCTTGAAGAATATCATCTCAATTTTTATCAATTTGTATAGTCACTCAGATAGTTGGTTCCAGTAACATTCAGCCCTGTCACACTTGATTACATGTACATGTATATTTTAGGCAAGAGATTTAACTATAGCTTATGTTTTAGTGGCTATAACCTATATTTATATGGGGGCTGTATTTTATTCCTCATTTCCACTGAATAAATCATGTATTGAAGACGTAAGTATATCTTAGATTTTCAGTATATAAAAAAAATAATCATTTCGAAACAACTGGATCAATAACTCTGATAAATGTGTTGTTTTCACTAGAAATAGATTGTTTCTTTCACCACATTTTGATGGAACAAGAGTACTAAAATTGCAATTTTTCTTCATCTTATCTTTATGTTTATTTAATGTAAATTGAAATTAAAGACAATGCCTATTAAGACCATTTTTTATGTGAAATATTTTTCTGATTTCAGAATTTATTAAACAATATAGAAACAAATGATGTTATGGCGTTTGTAGCTAGAATTGGTTTATTTTTTCAAATGGTATGTGTCTTTCCATTATTGGTGTTTATTTTACGAGTACAGTTCATGCATTCTGTATTTGGTTCAGTGTGGCCAAGGTAGGAAGATTTTTTTTTGATAATCTGTTTTATAAAATAAGGTGAAAACTAATCACTTCTTTCTTCTAAAAGAGCAATGTAGATAAATAATTATAGTAGAGAAGACATATTTATGTTTTTGAAAGTGGGGTTCAAACAATGAAATGTTAAGATCACCATTGTGAACTAATACCTTTGTTTTAGTAATTATGAATATCTTAATCTCATTCAACATTAGTTTGTTGTCCAGATCTCCATTCTTTTATTTTTTAAAACAGAAAGTTTTGTAAACTATTATTTTTTTCTTATTTCAGTATAAAACATGTATTGATATTAAATGTTATTTTGTTGGGTATTTGTGTAGTTTTTGCTATTTTTCTTCCACATATTGGACGTATCATTGGGTAAGTTGTTATGTCTTTACTTGTTCATGTTACCATCATGAAACTTGTTTGTACAGAAGCACTAATATACTTAATGTGAATCATATTTAGCTTGAAAGATGGCATAAAAACAAGCAATCTACTTCACTTTAGTTAGAATAAATTATAAGTTAAAGATGGGTTCCCTTATTTTCATTTATGAAAATGAAAATACTAATACTTATATGAATAGTTAGTAGAGGTGTTCTAATGACTTGGAAAAATACCAGTTTGTCTCACATGTCCATAATTAATTCATATCCAGACTGTACATACATGGACTAGTATGATTGGTGAAAACTCTTAATTATATGAAATAAGAACATAATGATATGATTAAGAATACATGGCAATTCATTAGAAACACCAATTAACCAAATAGTTTTCTTAATTTGACACTAAAAAATAAGGAAAACCATCTTTAAGTATTAATATAGCTGAAATGGGATGTGTTCATGTTGTAGATTTGCTCAGATATCATACCTTGTATACTGTATATTTCCAAATACAATGTGCAAGCGTGTATAATGTGCACCCCTTCCTTACCCCATCAAATTCAGTGAAAATCCATTTACCAGTGTATAATGCGCACCCCTTGTTTATGACAAATTTGACACCAATATGTGTCTGTATATTTGTCATGATATCATCTATATTATAGTTGAAAAAAAAAAGAATATTCTACTTCATGTAGATTTGAAAGGCTAAACAAATCGATAAATGTATACACACTTTCATTGAAGGTACCGCATTATTCAATTATGGTAGGGTAACTCAAACTGAAGTAAAGAGCTCATTTTATCGGACGCTTTTGAATAATTGTTACTTGATGTGTGGAAGCCAAATCAGCAGAATAATATATATAGTAGGGTTGTTCGTCCTCACTTTCTCTATTTGCATACTGTTTTACGAATATAATATCACTTGAAAATGGCTGAATGTAATTGCATTTGCTGAGGCTTATGGTAATCGAGCAGCTGGTCAGGAATCTAATATCAACGAATCTAATATTAGGCGTTGGCACAGTAAGCTGGGAAGTTGAAGCTGAGGTGGTGACCTTGATCAAAGAAAGAAGAAAACTGAGTTTCCACTTAGTTAGAATTCAAGCTTTAAAGGTCCACCAACACACTTACACCAAGACAGAGCTAAAAGAAAAGTTGATTTGGATATTATGTGTGAGTGGATTGTGAGAGTGTGGAGACATTATATTATAATTCGTAGTTTTAAAAACTTTTGCATATAGAACGACATGGATGGCACAGAAGATGATCTCTTGTTTGAATATATGTGTCCGACAGAATAAATGGATACCATTACCACTATATAAAACAATCAACAAATACATAATAAGCCTATTGAGTCATTATTTTGATCAATAAAGAGATCATATACATGAAACAATATTACTACTTAAGTCGATGAAGGAAGACAAAATAGCAGATCCCAATTACCAATGTAAAAATACTCAAAAAATATTTCACCATGTATAATGCGCGCCCCGCCCCTTCTGTGTGGAACCTTTTAAGGGTAAAAACTGTTCATTATATTTGGAAATATATGGTATATAATTAGGTATATTGTTATCTATCACTACTATATCAGCACGTTGGTGAGATACAGGTTTATAGGCATTGATATCACTAGGGCTGGTTTTCAGATTTATTTCATTACCGGTATTAAAGTAAAAAAATGCCAATAATTTCATGCTATTACTTCAAAAAATTATGTGAAAACTTTTCTATTTTTCAGGTTTGTTGGTGCGTTTTGTGGCTTTTCCTATGCTATTTGTCTCCCTTGTATGGTGTATATAAAATCATGTTATTTGAATCATGGAGGCCTGACATTATCATGGCCTAAAGTAGTGTTCCATGGTTTTCTAATATTCCTTGGTATAATCAACTTCATTGCACAGTTTGTAATAATTGGACACACCCAATAATTTCAGGATTTTGTGTGATATTTTAAGGTGATCATATTTCATGTAATGTATTCTCTGGTTAATTGCTTATGAATAACTTTTACATTGTCATTTCACAACCTTTCTAAATCAAATTAACAGAAATAATCAAATATCAAAGATTATCATGTGGTTTAAAGCTTATGTCTTTAATATTTACAAGTTTGGAAATCAAAAAAATCGAAAAAATATTTAGTACGAGTTATTGCCCTTGCTCTTGAAAACGCTTACAATTTTTAGCTCGTAATCATTCTAGAATTCTTGACGGATTTTGATGAAACTTGGTGTGAATGTTCGTAATCACCCAAGGATGAACCTTATTGAAAATCAGAAGAATTGAATATTTGCCATGTAGAGTTTTCACAAGCCAAAAATTTAACACGTTTTCAAGAACAAGGGCAATAACTCATACTCAATATTATTCAGTATCGCCCTGAAGAGTCCAAAAAAAGTGTATGACTGAAGGTTGAATATTTCATACTGGTGATTGTTACTGTACTGTGCAATAGAAAGATATCATGGTCATGGTATTAAAAAAAAAGGTTTGTGTGAGTGTTAGTTTATCTGGTAAATTATGTTTGTAATGCCTACAGTGCCTGAAATATTAAATATTTTTAATAATCTTAATAATGTATATATCTTTGCATCATTCCACTAATGAATTTACATTATTTAAATTAAAGTTATCTTTTCATTCAATTAAGCATGAATGATCACCAGACAAAGTCAGTGATAACATTTCAATCCATCAATATTGGACATCTATCACTTACCAGTGTGAAATTTTTAACTTAAGCATCAATTTTGCCGAGAATCCATGAGCTGCAACACCTCAAACTTGTTCTGAGACCAAAAGGTGCAAATCACCAGTGTGATTGTGGTGGTAAATAACCCATGATTTTTGGTGAAGTGACAGACTTCTTTGTCTCTTAGGGAGACTAAAAGCTGGAAAATGGAGATTAAGCGTTTCATTGTTCAAGTTATCCAAGGTATAATCAGATAATTATATTCCTTTGAGTTCCAGAGCTAAATAGCATAATCTACCTCACATGGACTTAATTTAAATTTTGTATATAGTTGGTAATGATATGCTTGGTGTAGTGTATATTTGCTGGCCAATGTGTGTAATTTTATCATTTATTCCAATGTATCATTATAAGCTTGTATAGAAACCACTGTTTATTGTTAACTGTCTTTTAAAATAAATATATTTCACTGCATAATGAATTTGTTTTTTCACTATAATTTTGCTGATTCTGTTTCAATGATGAAGCAGAGCATCTTTATGTTGCATAAAATCACTGATTACTGGAATTGAAAACGAAGAGGTAACATTCCATTTCAATTGACTTCATGTATATTCATAGATATAGTGCAAATTCTTGTGGGGATACCTTTAATGTCATGTATGTGCTAACTTGTTAGTTTTGCTAAATAAAAACATGGTCGCAGAACTTTTATAGAACAAAAACCATGTATGACATAAAATATCTTGACCGAAATATATTTGAGGCCAAGTTGTAAGTTGTGTGTAAATGTAAACAAATATGTCATAGCAAGATATTCAATTGTTTAAATCAAATAATGTATATTAGCATTCTTTGAATGATATTTGTATCAGGTTTTTCCCTAGAGGCTAAATGGCTATTTTAAGTGATTTGCTTGATCCAAAACTTGTGAAAACTAATAAATTAGGTTGTTAATTGACTAAGGATCCTCGCAATTACTAAGTATTAGAAGTTCTTCAAATCATTGCCTATAAACTGTAGAGTTAAATTGGTCTAGTTTTAGAATTTGACAAGCTCAAGGGAAGAAATAAACCTAATTTGTTCTGTGTTGGTAGAATTGTTAGTGTATTGACCAGTCAACCAAGATTTAATTAATGGTCGTGTTATGATTCAGGCTTCTCTTGTTGTAACTATTATATCTTTATGGGATGATGGAAACTAGGAATCAAAGTGGCTCAGTCTCAGAAAAGTTGATCATAAAGAAGCTAAAAATTGCGAAAAGAGGCTTTTTTCTGAGGTGGTTGTGGGTACTAATCTCCGTTGATATCTAAAAGTCATTTTCACTTCTGACTAGTCGACCCAGATGTGAATGGGTATGGATAATGCAGGAAAGATTAGTGCCAAGACCAGCAGGTAGAAATGATCCTTATTTGTGAACTTTGTTTTCCTTGTAAAATATAGTTGTTTTTCTTTTTAACAAAGAAAGGCAGACTTATATCTCAAATAATGTCTTGCAAGCTGTCTAATTAAATTGACTGACTATGGATAGTCTTAACTGAACACAGCAGATCTGGTTACTTTAATTTAATTATTAAGTTGTAGTGGTCAAAAAGAGAGAATAATGACAAGTTTTCTACTAGACTTTAGGCAACAATTAATTAATGATAGATATCATGATAGCTAGAGGAGATGTAAGATACAGACTCCATTTTGTATGAATATTGTTTGAACAAGATGCAGGATTATTTCCATCTCCACCAAATCAATATTGCTGTTCTCTGAAGATTCTTGGGGTCCTGGTATTTAACCACATTTAATTAGCCAGTGGCTACGACTTTTGCTCTTCCAGTTTCAAATTTCAAATCCTTGAGTTCGTAAATGTTCTCCTTGACAATAATGTGGCTGCAACTCAACCCCTCCACCGAATGGTTTATAGAACTAGAAGCGCCACTGTCTTGGACATTTATAGCCAGTACCAATAAGGGTCATTTAATGCTAACATTTAGATATATTTTCATGACATTTGTTCCTTAAAAACCAATAAACCAAAATCTATCTGACAGTTTCTGTCAAGTTAGACAGAGTACTCTTGTCATTAAAAATATGGATCATTCTGAGCGCAGACTATAATTTTGCCACCACATAATGTTCATAAGTAAATTTGAAAGAGATTTAGTTGGATTGCTTAGTCATCACTGTCCAGAAGATATTACTAAACAATTTACCAACTGAACTCAAACATATAAGGAGAGACATTTCAATGATTTTTCATCAAATGAATTCAAAAATTGAAAAAAATTATCTCTTTAATTGCAAAGGGTGCAAATGACATATGAATTAATATACAGAAACAAAAACATTGTTTAATAATAATAAATTTTTGTATATAAATTTCATAATATATTATGTTCAACATATGCCCTCAATACATCTCTTAAAGCAAAACTGAATTTTCAACTTCAGCCAAGCGTAGACCGGACATTCTGTTACTATATAAGTTAGTCCAAATAAAGAATGCATGCAAGTCATTAATTAAAGCACAGAGACGTGTTATAAATTAAGTTTTTATACAGATATAATTAGTCTCTTCATCATGATAGCAAATAATAGTTTTCTGGAATAATATGTCTGTTTGGTCATTACATGCCGTGAATTCTCAAAATACAAGAAAATTTTCCTGATTTGATACAACCACCCCACATGTTGACAACCTTTGCAGATAATGTTCCATCCTGCTATCTTACATAATAGCATGTGTGACAGTCAGGTTTCTGAAGTCTAAGTGGATTATGTTCACCCAAAAACAAGTTACATAGTGTTTTTATAAATTAATTCTTTTGTCTTATCCAATATAATATTAATATTCTGATGTACACATAAGAGCTGGCTTGCTTCCAATAAAATACCAAGTCTGTTATATCATGTTTCACTTGGGGAAACCATGGAGCTATGAAAGAGGTTTCTTCCAACAATTAGAATGGAGCAAGTTCCCCAAGCTGAAACTAATTTTCATTGATATACTACTACACAGTCTTTCCGATCAATGCTTGTAACAATGACTTCCAGTCCCATAAACAAACAAACAAAACGATTTTATCCCAACCAAAACAATACAGCATAAAAAGTCTATATCATAAACAAACAAATATGTATATCAATTTAAAAATGACCATATTATATGGATGAAGTTGGATATGAAATAAATTGATTGATATCATAAATTAATATTTTCTTAATTGACCTGCTATATAATTTTCAAACTTTTCTTCGATTGTAAAAAAGTAACATAACAAACATGCATCTAACAAATTTTTCTGGGTGTAAAATAATACATTATCAAAATTTGAACTTGATAAAAAATCCTTTAAAAGTATTTTAACAGAGCACAACAAGATTTTAATTCTAAATAATTTGTATTAAAACTGGGTTGAATGTTCGTCATTTCTTAAAATAAAAAAAAAACCAATTACTATGTTGCTTAATTTTTTCAATCTTTAACTTGACAATTAATTTGTATTGGGGGGTATACCATAATAATAATAATATATATATATATATATATACATTAACTTTTTACAAACGCATCACTAATATTATTTTACAAAAAAAAAAAACAAAGATGGCATGGAATGAATCAAAACCTGGGAGAACAGTCCGAAGAGAAATTAAAGCTACATTATTATGTATTATTTAACAGAATTGTCTTGAAATTTCTTGTGTTAGATAATAAAGTGCAGAAACAACTGCAGTTTATTTTTGGTAAACTCAAACATAATTTTCACACATTTAACAAAGTCAGATCAAAAATTTCAAATTGATTTCTTGATAGTGTCATTGAATTAAAAAATAATTGAATTCTTCAAAACAAAAATTAACAAAAGTTGGAAAAAGTTGGGTAACAGCAATACTTTTCAAGGTATAAAAAACTTTTCTGTGCAATAAAACAATTTAAATTGTAGATTGTACCACTTAGAACATGAAAAATAATGAAATTCTAGCAAATGTGCTATGAAAAACACATAACAAGTTAAGTTACTATAAAATAATATATATCTTGGGCATAATAAAGTATACATTACTTTCATTTCATTAACAATTGAATCAAGTTTGCTTTTTTTTACCATCAATTTTGTAACTCTAAATATTCTTCTAAAAATTCATGGTAAAGATTTACCATTTACAAAAAATTCAATGAAACATGTTATGCAATTGATTCGCTTGCAGACACATTCTTTGAATGAAATATCAATAATGAAAATACATGCTCCCTGTTTCCTAATATATTTGGAATGAATACAACTGAGCTTTCAATAAAGCTTCAATTTCGTAACCAATAGAAACCATAAGTCAAGGTCACACAGCCTCTAAGGTCGTTGAAGATTTCCTCTTCAAAGGTAACGGTCAGACTACATCCAACTGTAACTATGGTAACATATTGGTTGGAGAGACAAAACACACCAGAAAGTTTAATCAGCTTATAAGATAAAATATGTACAACTTCATCCTTTCAAAGAATTTTTCAGAACATCAGTTTCCATGACAACAATAATTCGTTAACGCTAGAATAAATAACAAGATGATTCAACGACGACAGAGTGAAAGAACTTTTCGCATTCACACCTTTCCAGAATGCTTGGTTTCTGCGTAATGACAATATTGTTGTAAATCTACACTCAACTTTGAGATTGAGGATCACATTGAAGCAGACGAACGATAGAAGGGTCACTTTTTGCTCCTTCAATAAACTCATCTAAAGATAGTCTACCATCTAAATTTTTATCCATTTGACGGAAGATTTTCTCGGTTCTTTTTTCTGGGGTAGATTCATCTTCAGGCATTTTCATAACTGTTCCAACCATTTTATATATGGCCTGAAAAAGAGTAAACAAATTATTAATCATCAATGATGTAAATAGTTTGGTTCTCATGGTACCGAGACATACCAGTATCTATTCTTTATACAAAATATTTAGTTGGGATGGTTGACTCTGTATCTGGCGTCTGATAATTATATTTAACAGAGGTCCTCATATAAGATATGGTTTTATGGAAAACCAACGGTTGCAAGGAACTTTATTTCAGGAAATATAGATGTTAGCATATGGTTAGACACTTTTGAAGCACTTTTCACAGCGCACTTGGACCACTTTTTTTTTTAGGCTTGGAACAATGTTTAAGCAAATTTAAGTGGGCCTAGCCTGTTATGAAAAGTGGTCTGAGAGTGTGTTTTGGTCCGAATATTCAGTTAGCAGAAATACGATCAGAAAGTTTTTTCTAGGATATATATCCTAGACAGCAGCAACAGGTTTATTTAATCCTGCTGGAAAATGTTTCAGATAATATTGTACAATTTTTTTTTTATGCCTCTTTTGTGAATTGATTTTATTGTTAGATGTTTAGTTTAAAAACTTTTCAAAAATCTTACCGTTACTATTTCTAACATTTCCTGTCGTGAAATAAATCCATTTCCATCTAAATCATACATACTGAATGCCCACCGTAATTTTTGTTCTAATTTACCACGAGACGTAACACTTAAAGCACAAATAAATTCACGAAAGTCAATTGTGCCATCCCCATTAGTGTCAAATGTACGGAATACATGTTCAGCAAATTTTGATGCATCCCCATATGGGAAAAAGTTTCCATATATTTTTTTGAATTCTTCCACAGAAAGATGACCACTCGGACAATCTTTTAGAAATCCTTTGTACCACTCCTGAAGTTCTTCGTCTGTAAATTCTGTATTCTTACGCAAATCCTCAAGAATTTCGGGTTTCAATTTACTATTTGCCTTCCCCATGTTGCCCTTCGTTCACAACTAATGCGTTGTCAAGGAAACCTTAACACTCTCCAAACTAAAAAGATAAAAAAGACAACTGTTAAATCATATGATAATAATGGTATATAAAATGATGTGAGATAAAACATCTTACTCTTCTGCATATATATATAGTATATATACTAGAAAAAGATTGATAACAAGCATACAGACTGTAGATAATCAATGTTAATTTTCACTAGAAACTTTCTAATCATTCTCTGGGGTCACAATTAAACATGTATATGTATTCTGTATGAAACCAAATCCTGGAGAAACACATACCATAACCTTCCTTTCACCTTTTTTGTCTGTTGATACTTGTTAAGGATCACCTTCTCCTGACAGGTCTCATGTGTACCAGACAGCCATGTGGTCGTTTACTTGATGGTAATCAAAGAATTTATTTGCATATTCCTTTATAATGGCGTCATGACCAATTTATATCTAATTATTGAGTAAATTTGAACACATGTTTTAACACTAGCCTAATAGTTCTGTTTAGTCTAATAGTTTCTTGGTCATAATCAAAACAAATGACATTGACAAAATAAACAAGCTCTGCAAGTTTTGTTTAATGTATTCCTTATCTAGGTATGATTTAAGAGGAAAATAAGTTGATATAGAGTTGTAAATATCAATCATACAAGTCCAATAATAATTTTTGCTGTGCTTTTAGGCACGTAATTGATAGACCTATAATTAATGTATGTATATTTTGTTGTTTAACCCCACAAGCTAGCTCTTATTCTAAAGTTTCATTTAGTAGGATATCAAATTTTCATTAATAGACCTAATATTACATAATTCTGTCAATAGAAACACAAATAATAACGGAAACATTTTCCTTAGCATTTCCATGTCAGTCCTCTTGTGTCCGTCTCGATTCATTTAATGATAGCTATATGAATATTATGACATTTGCATGTCAGTGTTCATGATTTAAACACACCCAAACCTCTCTTATGCAAGAGAAAGTCAACATGCAATAGGCTGTAAGTAAAAGCAAGAATTTATTCAGTTATTTTTATGATGAGATTTGTTTATGATATTTACTCTAAGTTTATATTAATAGTTTATAATGTCAATTTTGACAGTTTAATGACAGTATATTTAAGAGTTAACTATTTTTGTACTTTGGCTTAATATCAAAGTTGCCTAAGATTAAAAAACTGATTAAAAGAAAACAATGATAAAAGTTAATAGGATAACTACCATTGAAATCAATTAGAAAGTAAAAATAAGGAATGCTGCATCAATTGATGAATTGACTAAACAGATAATCACAAATCATTTATATAGAAACTAAATACACAACAAAATATACAGGTGATCAAAAAGTTCACATAAATATCACCAACAAAACTTTTTAAGATCAATGTGTTAAATAGTCTTAGATATTAACTTGAAGTTAATCTTGTATCACATTGAACACAAATCTACAGATTTTCTGTTCACTTCATTTTTAAGTTTTCTATTAATATCAATAGTAGAAGAAATTCTTGTTTGATGGAAATTACCTGAGTATAAATTCTCAAAATTTGATTTTAAAAGATTATAACCAATAATATTTCTCACTACTCTAATACCATGATATATATATAAATACTAGATACTGATGCTGATCAACGCTCCCTGGAGAACATCAAATATCATGAACATGGAATCTATACATTACAAACTGTCCTATCATATCGCTTCACAATTTGTCCTATCACAATGCATCACATATTGTCCTATCATATTGCATCACAAATTGTTCCATCATAGTGCATCACGAATTGTCTTAACTTATTATCCTATCTTAAAGTATTTTCTTTGTCAAAGATTGCAGAATATAACAGGTGTATGATAGAATGATAATTATATCATTAAGACAGGATAAGAGATAATTATCCCACGATTATCACATAATTCATAATAATCCTATCATTATCAGATTAAAGTTATAAGTCGGATTCAAGACTGTTACATTCTTTTTTATCTGATGGCCATTTTGGAGTGAGCGTAACCAGCTTTTTTTCACAGTAAATTTGAGTTGGTCACAATTTTACAGCCTTAGCTCTCATAAAGAAAAAAACCTAACATCCTTAATTGACAAGTTGGCTTTCAAGGGTCATTTCTGGTCAATTTTCAAACTTCTTGAGTTTATTTTTCTAGATATACTCACTTACAATTTTTGTTGACTGGAATAATTAGGAAAGATCAGGGTTTGTACAAATTATGACTTGGTGTAGGAGTATGTATGCTTAAACAGTGATATTCCAGTCCTTTACCACTGATAGAATTACACAGTAACATAGCCATCAGTTACATCCCATTATACCCATTAACATTTGTAAACATATAACACAACTAGTTTTGCTTAACCTCTAGTGTTTTTTGTTAAAGATTACCTGACATTCCTTGAATTACTCATCTACTACTAGTGACCCATAAATCATCTTAGGTATATGAAGACATAAGTAGTTGGCACATTTTATCTGATCATCAAAAATAGAATAAAACCAGCCATTCAGATTTGCAAACAGAAATACCATTGCATTGAATATAACTGAAGCCATTAATGACATAAATTATACAAGTGACCTATAAATCATTTAAGATACCTGATGCTCCAAACTTAACAGATCTCATCTGATGCACACAAAAATAATAATGCTGACAACAGAGATTTGTAAACAAAACTATGCAGCATGACTGAAAGATTCCTTATAATAAATTATGTGAAATACTAATGTCAAATTATCAGAAATGGTTGATTATTATGTGATTGGCATGCTAATCTGATGCACAGGAAAATAGAAATACAGAATAAGTGAGATATTCCTTAAATCATTCATATTGTGTACAAATACATCTGATCTGTAAAACATTTCAGTAATCCTGATACTCCACATCTTTTTGCACAAGAAAAAAAGTCCTGATATCAAAATCACAGATATTTGTAAACCAAAATACAAATAGGAATGGAATATCTTTAAACCATTTATTATGTGAAATGCTTATAACCTATATTTTGAGATAGTTGAACCATTTCCAACAAATACAATCAAAATCTACCTAAACCACTAAAAGGTTATAAGTATTAACTTATCCTATAAACACAGTTTCCTTTATTTTGTAGTATTTTGTAGTATTTTGTAGTGTTTCTAGTTTTCAATATCTGTTACAACTATGTTAATAAACACAATGATGTTTTGACTTTGTTGCAAATATATATATATACTAATATTTATGATATACCAAACTTAGTGCAAAATAAACAAATAAATACAAAATGTTACTTCAGGGTCATATTTTACCACTGCCAATTTCACAAACACATGTCATGTAATGCTTATAGAAAGGGAATTGAAGAAATATAATGCATGTGCTGAATAAAAACAGAAAATCTGGGCTGACAAAGCATACAATTACTGCTCTTACTGATCTGAATAAAGCAGAATATTTCAAATTAATTGAGCAATCAGCAAATATAATTCCTTCTGTATGAATGATAACAAAAGAAGATAACTCATTCCTGCTTCAATTATTTTAATCTTGTAACATGATTTAAAAACAGTTTCATTCCATTAAAAACAACTTTCATTATTATCAATTGTTACTGGACAAAAACTTAAAAAATACTTTCTGGAAGGAGATTGATTTCACCATAGTAACGTTTAACGCCCAATTGATAGTGTATGTTGACAGACTCAATTTTAACATGAAAATAAACACACAAATATTGACAAAAATTATACAGCAAATGAGAAAATCATGCATGCGTGTGTAAAACATGTGTGCCATACTTTTAAATTGATAAGATTCCCTTTGATAATGGATAAAGATTGTTTGTTTTTTATAGACTTAGTCTAGATAATGACTTAACAATTATTGATAACCATAATTTCTATCAGTTTACGAAATTAACCTTCAAATTGTCTACTAGCAATCTGTCATTCAGCTATCTAAGTTTCTTATCAACTTTTTAAGGTTCATGAATTTAAATCTGCCTGATTTTCACTAGAACATCCTTCTAAAAACATGTAACAATACCTTGATATTATCCTATCCTTATCCTATTAGAACACCTGTCTTCCTACAGGTTTGAATTCCTCAAGATATTGAACACAACAGCATTAGGTTATACTACAGTACAGTAGAGAAACCTATTTACAAGCTGTGGTTGTCCTATGTATCTAACATCTCGTATTAGTCCAATATGAAAATAATCTACAAGTGACATCTATTATTTTTTCAATGACACGGCCTTGTTTTTTATGACTAACTTGATGAACATGTCGCAATGGATTGGTTTCAACATCTTTCACTGAGAAACATAATTTAAAAACAAACACATTGTGGCAAATGGATAAGACCAACTTAATTATTTATCACAATGAAAATCAATAATGACTAGTTAGTTCTGGACTTTTCATCATAGTCATCCAGTCTGAATGTTTGACAATATTTCACAATTTGAAAGTCTGGTTGTACATAGTAAAAAATCAAATAATGGAAGAGTAAAAATTGATTAGTTTGAGAAACAATGACATGATTTCATGAGATACCAACATTATTATGGATTGAATTCTCCACAATATAAAAAACAAAACTGCCTTCATATCAAAAGATAGTGGGCCACATCCATATACGCAAACCACGGCATGCGGATGGTAAATATTCAAGATTTTGGGGCAAGGGCAATAACTCTGCTTCTAAAGGTCGATAATAAATCAAATTCGAACTTGATTTTCGTTTTATGTATATGTATACACATACGGAATTTCATTTGACTCCATCAAAAAATCTAGTTTTTAGAGCGTTTACAAGCAAATGTTGACGGACAGATGGACGGACTAACGGATGGATGGAGCGACCTACCATGTATCTTCAGTCTTAAAAAAAATAATACTGAAGAAACCATCAAATACCATATATATACAAAATGTCTAAATTTCATGCTTCAGATATCTAAGACAAAATTAATATCATCCACATACAAAAACTCTTTTAAATGATAAATTTGTTTGAAAGCCTTTTCCTCATTAAAGAATGTCAGTTTGCCATATTGTGGACGTCACTAGTGACAACCAGTAGTCAAACAAGTCTAATACAGGATTTCCCACTTGTTAATTATACTTGATAAACATATCAATCAATGACCAGCCAGACAGTCTATGCCTACTTTTAGCTACAATATTGTGCAGATACCATTAAGAGACAAGACTATTGCACAATATTTCTTAAAGGTACAATTCACCAACCGTTTCACCGATTTTCTAACTAAGATAATCACTAATAGTGTTCACCATCGAAATTGGAGCTTTCAAATACATGTGTGTCCAGAATTATGCATGTTTGAATGTTTGACTCATTTTTTCCTTGTCTAGATAAAACACACATAAGAATTTTCCAGTCTGAAGTATATTTGAAGGGATTATGCGACTTTCGTGCAGTTTAACTAGTTCTCTCTTGACATACATTCAAGATCTAAAACCTCCAAAAATGGCCAACCAACCAAACACTAGGTCTGTA